ATATATATATATATATATATAAAGACTAAAATAAGCAAGGTCATTAACAGAATCCCAAACTAACACTAGACTTGTGAAACACTATTAATTTAACACTAGATAATTTCCTTTTAAATTAAAAAAAAAAAAACTCACGAACAGGCATGTAATATATACTATTGATATGCTCTTAACTATTTAACTTGTTACCAAAATGACCGAATTAATCAAAACTAGAATCTTATACCATATTAAACAAACGTGTAAGGAAAAAAAAAATAGTATGTGAGCCTTAACTTTTATTCATTGGTGTTAAAAGACGTGACTTACTTTCTAGTTTCTTTTCTGGAAAAGAAAAAAAAAAAAGAATACTGACATTGCTTTCCACGTTCCACTGTTTCTTCACTCTGCTCATATTCTTCTTCTTCTTCGCTTCTTAAAACCCTAAACCCTTGAAATCCTCAACAGAGCAGCATCAAATTCAACTATTCCCTCAACTCTCTGCAATGCAAAGTTCTGACTGAGTGCTGTGAATGATCGTTCTGAGCCACGCAAAATGACGATCGTGGCCTTGTTACTGAGTTTTCTGGTAGCGGTGACGGTGGTGGTGTCGCCGTCGCACGCGGCTTCCAGTGGTCCCCACATTGCTGACGTCAACTTGCTCTTGCCGCCAAAAATGACTTATCCAGTTGATTACCGGCTCCAAGGAAGCGACGGCTGCTTCCAATGGTCCTCTTCCGTTTTCAATCATACTTACTCACTACTATTTTATATTCTTCGCAATTTTGAAGTATATTGAAAAAAAAAAAATAAGAAAGAACTAGGTGATGTCATTTCAGTTCAGTTCAGTTCTCCATATGATAAAATTAAGGACAAAACTTAGATGCATGCAGTGGTAGCACGAGTGTTGAGTGTTGAGTGTTGTTAGTGCTGTTTTCGGATCAGAATTGGATTTCACCTAAACGTGGTTGGTGAAACTCCTTGTAAAACTGCAGCTGCCGTGGTATCTAAGTATTTTTGTGATAATAGCATTGTTGAGAAAACTGAGGCATATTTTCTTGTGTGCTTTCATGTGTAGTTTTACAATGAAAACTGAAGTTTTACATCGGAACTTGTGCTGGCTTTCAATGATAACATTTGTTGTGCATACTACTGGAATTAAACTATAATTCTGGATGGAGAATAATATCTGAAGCATATAAGAAACCTCATCTAAGATTTGTCCGAATTCTTTTCATATAAGAAAGGCATGAGTGAGTTTAGGCTGCATTTTTTTTTGGGTTTTAGTTTTCATATCACACTTTTATTTTCTATAAAAAATCCTTGCTCTGAAAGTTTATTTGAAAATGGAATCATTATATTGGAACACAACTAGGTCAAGTAATTTAAGTTCAGTTGTAGTTTGATAATTATTTTTATTAAGGTTAAATATGTTTTTGGTCTCCAAACTATTATGAAAAATTATATTATAAAATATTTAATCCTGTATTTTATGAAAATCATATAAAACTTCATTTTCCAACAATGTGGAGTGTTTTTATGTGTCAAATAGAGTTCCACATGGAGACATAATATAACCTACACATATCGATTGTTGGGAGAATGTTTTACACGACTTTTATGAAGTGTTTAACGAAGTACTTTATAATCAAGTTTAGGAACAAAACAATTTTTTATAACAATTTGGGAATGAAAAACATATTTAATTATTTTTAGTAAAAGAAAGTTTAGTTAAAACGAAGGTTTGGGAAATTAAGATGTGTTTGATTGTGTCTTTGTATTTTAGTTTTTAGAACTATTTTATGAAACAACATCTAAAGCTGACTTTTGGAACATATAAACAAGGAAGGATATGTGAATTGGTTTAGAAATTAAAGGGGAGATATTAATTTTTGATTTTTTTTTTAAATTACTCTTATCAAACAAGGCTTTTGTGAAACATTATTCCCTGGTTTTTCTTATAAAATTGTTTTTCTCAAAAAGTGATTCCCTTGTTTTCTGAAGTGGTGTTTGTTGATTGGTTTTGGTTGTTATCCTTTGTTATTGAGTTGATTATGATATTTTTTGTGGTACATACTTAGGTCATGGGATCATCATGACATTCTGTCTGTTGAGCCTGAGTATAATTCAACCAGCAAGTGCTCAACTAGTGCAAGAATAAGATCCATTTCCCCTTACAGTGTGCGGAAGGAAACTGCTGTTTATGCTGCAGACTTGAAAACTGGGATTGTGATTCGCTGCAAAGTCTTTATTGACAACATATCACGAATACAGATATTTCATAATTCTATTAAACTTGATTTAGAGGGGCTTGCCACACTACGTGTTCGAGCCTTTGATAATGAAGGTATCTGTGAAATCTTGCTAGTTTTGTACTTATCATGGGATTTTCACGCATCATGAAAGTCTGACTCCATTGTAAAATCTTGCCTTTACATAACCATTCGCTTGAAAATATGCTTTCTTTACCATATTTTTTTCTTGAAAATTTTAAAATGAGCTTTAATAAACGAAGAATGCATACTACACTATGGCAGGATTGACATTATAGGTGCTATGAAGCTCAATTTACTCTTTTCTGCCTTTTTAGCAAAGGCATTAAACTTTTCAGCATTTATTTATTTGTCTTGATGATTCTATATAATTATTTCCAGCTTAAAGTTTTGTTAATTTCCTGTCACCTTTTCTCCTCAATTGGGTCATAAGATTGGAAATATTTATTGAATTCCCTTGTGCTGCAGAAAACGTATTTTCTTCATTAGTTGGCTTACAGTTTATGTGGAGCCTTATGCCTGAAGCCAATGGATTACCTCATCACCTTGTTAATGTTCCACTAAAGGATTCTCCCCTTAGTGATTGTGGGGGATTATGTGGTGACTTAGATATACAAATAAAGCTTGAAGACAATGTAAGACTGCTACTGGCTGGTTTAAACAGGTTAAGTCATTGTGTTATTATAATAATGCATATTTAATGTTATATCCTACTTTTTTTTCCTGGTCCTGTTTTGCAGGGTGTATTTTCAGATCTTTTTGTAGTAAAGGGAATTGAGATTGGTCATGAGATTGTGTCAGTGCGTTTGCTTGAGACACAGTTAAAGAATTTAGCTGATGAGATTGTTCTTACTGTTGCTGAAGCTATGTCCCTCGATCCTCCTTCACCAGTTCTTGTACTTGTTGGTGCAGTCATTCCCTACACCCTTAAAGTCATCCGTGGAAATGTTCCTGAAGGTTTTCTTAAGTTGTTTACTTTTCATTCAAATCTAAGTGCAAGATGTTTAGAAATGTAAATCTGATATCTATGTGATTATGCTGTCAAATTGCAGAATTGGTAGTTAAGATTACTAATGCAATTGGTCATCCATAGATGGGGAATCCTCATTTTTCTATATTTTGGGAGAATTTTTACCCTCCTTGTTTGTTTTCTTTTAACAAAATCTTCTAATTTTCAGTCCTCCTTAAAATTACGCTCCAACTTATTTTCTAAAGCAAAATTTGTAGTGTTAATGTTTTGTTTGGACTGTATTTCAGTCTATTTAGTACCATTGAAAGATTACAGTACAGCAAAGGTGTATAGGTCTCATAAGGTCCATTTCTCTGACAGGTGTGTTCTGGGCCACAAGATTTTTAAATCAAAGAATAATCTGTTCCTTCATCTGTAGGCAGCTTAGAAGCTACTGATTAGATTATTTCGATTTTATGTAGAATCGTGGATCTCTCTCAATGTTTTGGATCAGTACTATATGTCTAAGTTGGAAGATCTTTTGTCTATGTTGGAAGTTGTTTTTTTTATTAGGTTTAGTGGTTTGGGCAGTAGAAAGGAGAGAATGATGTTTCAAAATTGCCTTTTTTTTGTGAGTGGATATTTGTCTTGGTAACTTTTCAGTAATCATTTTGTGATTAGCTGTAAAGCAAATATTAGATTATGTTTTATTTTATGGGATCTTTTATTGTTTTTGTTTTTTAATTCTTTGGAGGAAATCAAACTTTTCATTCTCCCTTGACAATATCAACAAATGCCGACAAAACAAGAGAACCAAGAGGAATTTCCTTGACTTTTTACACTATACAAATTTCTTTTATGTTTTTGTTCTTTTCAAATACCATCATAATTTGGTCTTTTTGGTGGAAAATAGATGTGTTCTTGTTAGAAATCTCACATTGATTGGTGATATTGCCAAATTGTAAGACATAAGTTGATGCAAACCTCAAGTTACTTTTAGGTACATTTATAAGATTGAGTTAGACTTATAATTCATTTTCTAAAATAGTATAAGAGCCTCTTTTATCGAGGTTTGTTCCAACTATTTGGTTGCTATTGGACTATCCAGAAATATCTAGTTCCACACTTGAATTGAGATGTCTAATTCTCTGTGTGTGAAGATGTGTTGGGAATCTTTCATTGACTAAAGATATGACTAAATTATAGTACATATAGAAGTATAAACATCATCTTTTAAGCTAGTTTTGTAAGATTGAGCTTAAATCTACTTTCTAAGAGCTCTAATTTGGAGTTCTTGTTTTTCTACCTGCTGTTGAATGTTCTTTAATATATTTTCTTCGGTCTGCAAGGATAAGGGGCTAAAATTTTTTACTTTTTGGCTGTTGCTTGGTGTATTTGAATGGAGCAATGAGCAAGAGACCTTTTCCAGATATCCAGAGGACCAATTTGCTTGTTGGTCTATGCAATATTCTTTGCTGTTGTTATTTTCTTCTGTAGAATTCCTGACTTTTCATCTTTGCATTTTCGTTTTGTTCTTATATGTCAAGCAGAAAAGTGATGATTCAGCTAATGATTGATGCTAGTTATACTTAAAAGAATTTTTAATTGGATATTGTTTACATCTATATGAAAGTTAAGATAACGGTTTTTTTATCCAATAACTTTTATATTTTGTTTCTGCTGTGATGTTTGTCAGCATATTATCAAGACTCTTACCAATATTTTGCTTTGGCATTTGCAGTGGTTACTTTACCCTCACCACATCACCAATGGTCTGTCTCAAATGCTTCGGTTGCTCAGGTCGACTCAAAAACAGGGTTAGCATACGCATGGAACTTGGGCATGACAGCTGTTATTGTTGAAGATACTAGGATTGCTGGCCATGAACAAGTGTCTTCATTGAATGTGGTCCTACCATCTTCTCTATGTTTGTATATATCACCTTTATCTAGTTCTGGTGATCCAGTGGAAGGAGTAAAATCTAACCCTCTGATGACCCGGTGGTATGTTATATCTGGCCATCAATATCTTATCCAGATAAAGGTTTTTGCACAGGATCATCCTGCACAAGAAATTTATATTACAGAGGTAGTTTTCATGATTCTACTTTCATAGCCTATCATCAATGGTAAAACATATTTACGTTGGCTCCTTAGATTTTCAAGGACATTTTTTTAATGTATCTGATGGGACTCTTATCTATATAATAAATTTACTATTGTGTCCTCTCTTTCAGAAAATGAAATAAGTTAAAAAGGAAATTCTTGTATAAAAGAAAAGGGATACTATAAATTGTTTTATTATCGGCACAACTTTTCCTTGATTGTATTGCAATTCTGTTTTATGTTCCCAAAGTTGTGAGATCTTATCTAATGATCTGTACGGAAGAGGACAGACACAAATGAAAGTGGCTATTGTGCATTATGTATGATATAGATATAAAACCTTTTCCTATCAGCCCAAGGTTGTGGTAATTGATTATACATCAGGCCGTTTCCAAATAAAGTACATCTCTAGTGTTGCTTGACATTTTTGTTTTTGATATTTTCCATGTACATTGCTAGTCTTGTGTCTTCTGTTATATTTGTGAGTAATACGTCTGTGTTGGAACTTCCCATTTATATTCATTGTGTTTTCTCTTATATGAATTGCTTTTGTTTCTATCAATAGTTTTCAACATTTATCTTTGCATTGCAGAATGATGATGTTAAGGTTTATGATAATGATTCTGATCAATACTGGAAAACATTTTTTGTTTCAAATGATATTGCTGTTAAACACGGCTGGCGGAATTCTAAAATCTTGGAGGCTTATTCACCAGGACTTGGAAAATTGACAGCTTCTTTGAGCTACCCTGGTGGGGCTGATGACAAAAAGGAGGTGACTGCCGTTTCATAGAAGCCTTATAAGCATATTTTTCTGTAGTTCATTCCTCAATTATTTTTGTCTTTTAGTTGTTGCACCATATGTTGCTTTGTGGTCATTTCATTCTTCTTTTTTTTGGGATTCGAGAGAGGCTATTTGTTTCCTGGCTTAGGAAGGTCATGGTACTTTTTCAGTACCAAGTTCTCATTTATTAGTTAAAATATTGCAGATTATCAAGGCTGTGCAAGAAATAATGGTTTGTGATAAAGTAAAGTTCACCTTGGACAATGATAGTGGAATGATCTTATTACCATGGTCAACTGGTGTTTATCAGGAGGTGGAGTTAAAGGCTACAGGAGGTTGGAAGCCAACATCTTCTCCAATCTGAAGTAGCAAGCTTATTCTTGATATTTATTTCTATACTCATTGATCCTTTTGTGATGTAGGCTGTGCAAAAACTGTGAGTGACTTCAGATGGCTATCTTCAGACTCGTCCACAGTATCTGTAACAGCTTTTGGTATTGTCCAGGCAAAAAAACCTGGTAAAGCTACTATCAAAGTGTTATCTGTATATGATTCACTAAATTATGATGAGGTAATGCTATTAAGGAAAATATATACTTTTATTTATTCATTCCAAATGTCTAGTAAATTTGATCATGTTTGGTTCCCTAAGCCCAATCCTGTTCTTGGGCTATATGCTATGGTATTGGAATTTAAGAATGTTGTTTGGTTAAAGAATAGTAAAGTGGTATGTGGTATAAGCATATTAGTTGGACATGTGTATGCTTAATGAAATTTTCACTTGTACTGCCCCTACTTTATTAGTGATTGTGTCCCATTACACTTTGATTTGCACCATCAATTAAGATTATCCTACTTTCTTTTTAAATGTTGATTTATTTGAGTTTATTTTGTTTCTTTATCTTTTCCTATCTTAATAAGATATAACTCAGTTATTATGGGGATAGATTATATCCATCATAATTTAGGATTTTCAGTTATTATGTTAATGTATCTTATTTAAGAGCAATAGCTCTTCTATGAATAATATCAGAAACAATTTTTCTGATATGGTTTCAGCACTCTAAAATCTTTGGAAGCCTTGTGTAATCTCTTATGCAAAACCACATCCTTTTTTTTTCTTTCTTGTATTCACCTAAGCAACCTGCATTGCTCCAACACCACAACCCTTTCTTTATTCCATTGTATTCCTTCTAGGCCAGCATTGCCATAGGTCAAACCTCAAAAATGTCTGTTACTCTGAAAACTTTACCCACTACAGTGTTCTAAAATTAAGGAGGTTGCTGGGCACCGGTGGAAGCCTAGTGAACTGATCTTCCCTTCTTCATTTATTGAATAATGTTAAAATGTTAGTGTTTTCATGAAGATGGTATCCCCTTATGAGGGTTTTCTTTAACAGAAAGGAAATGAATGGAGAATGTGAAGATACATTAATATCTGTTAGCATACTATAGTTGATAGTTGACATAGTTGACTTGTTTCAAGTCAGTCTTGAATTTTGTACAGCAGTGTATTCTTTACTATATTTTTCTTTCTTTTATGTACAGTTGTAAGTTTCTATTAGTATTAACAGAAACCTGACTCTTATGAGTAGCTATCAGGTACATATCTCAAGCTGTTCTAAGATCAACAAAACATTTTCTTTCATTGTTCATATTCTCTCTTTTCTCTCGGCTCACGTTATCTAAGAATTTCTAATGATACTGTGATGTTTTTCGTCGTATAAATTATTCTAAAAGGTGTTTTCTGTTGGATTCTCTTTGTGCTATTTGTTTGTTTTCTATCAATGCATAATGTATTCACAATTTTTTCTTGAATTTACTTTGGAATTCTATACAATTTATACATTATTTTTTATTTTTGTAATTTTATTTTTTCCTATAGGTCCTTGTTGAAGTCTCCATTCCTTCTTCTATGGTTGTGCTTCACAATTTTCCTGTAGAAACTGTTGTTGGATCATATCTTAAAGCTGCTGTGACAATGAAAGCAGCAAATGGTGATGCAATATTTGAGGATATTGTAAAGTTTCTTTTCCAATTTTCTGCTATTCATTTTTGCTCATGTTGTTGTATCATCTGCAGGTTCCTTTTTCTATGTATGTGATGCCTTTAATTCATTGATAAAGTGGAAGTCTGGAAGTGAGTCTTTTGTAATTGTCAATGCAACTCAGGAGTTGTTATACTTGAAAACTGAGCCAAATACTCAGCTCCGATCATCAGTCAATGGTTCTCCCTGTTCCTGGACATATGTTTTGGCTTCTCATCCTGGTCAAGCTGTGATCCAGGCCATTTTTTCCAAAGAAGATCACCACCACAGTCATAGTCCTGTTGGACTAAAAGCATCCTTACGCATTGCGGCATATCGACCCCTTATTGTACGTCAGGCAGGTGATGGAAACCAATTTGGTGGTTACTGGATTGATTCGGCTCAAGCAGAAAATGACAAGCAGTCACATGGTTTAGAGGAATTATATCTTGTACCTGGCACAAGTTTAGACATAGCACTTGTTGGTGGTCCTGAACAATGGGACAAAGGTGTGGATTTCATTGAAACTGTGGAAGTTTTGGATCAAGCCAATGCTCTAGCTGAAGATGGAGTTCTTGTGCAACGTGTATCTGATAGCTTCAGGAATTTGTATGGAGTTTTATGTCAAAAGCTGGGAACCTTTGTAAGTTTCAGTGATTATTTCTTGGTTGAAAGTATCCTAGAATTAAGAAGCCATAGAACTTGGAAATTACTAACCTTTGTGGTTTTAAATGACTCAGAAACTTCGTTTCCAACGTGGGAATTTGGTTGGGGAGGACCATCCTCTGCCTTCAGTGGCTGAAGTTTGGTTGTCTGTGATGTGTAGCATTCCTTCTTCTATTGTACTTATAGCTGATGAACCAGGTATACATTTTTTCAGAGTTAAAGTCATTGGCAACAAAATTCTTCAGATTTCTACCCTGAAGTGAGTTGTGTTTTTCAGTGAATGAATGCAGAATAATTAAAGCTGCAGCTCAAGCTGAACGTAGTTCAGGTAGACTTCATGATGCCCCTGTTATTGTGGCAAATGGGCGCACTATTCGTGTATCTGCAGTTGGTATCAGTGATTTGGGAGAGGCTTATGCAAATTCATCTTCTCTCAATTTGAGGTGGGAACTTAGCAGTTGTGAGGGACTGGCCTACTGGGATTATGGTTTTAATATAGTGAAGTCTAACAGTTGGGAGATATTTCTGGCCTTGCAAAATGAATCAGGCTTGGTACTGAAAGATTCTTATTAATTTTTTCATTTTCTTTATAGTTTGGCTTTACTACTTCATTTGACAACACCTGGTAATTTTGCAATCAGAGTTGCTTGTGAAAATTTGCTGTCCCAAAAACTAGTTTATAATGGTCTGAGTTCAAATATGTTTTTTTTTTTCAGATTTAGAAAGAATAATGTTTTTCTTATATATTTCAATAATGAGGCCATTGGACCAATAAAAATATGAGCGTGTTGATTATTTTAGAAAATAGAGAGCTAATTCTAAGGAAACAAATTTTTGTGATTATGGGATTGTTTTTAAATGCATAATCCTAGTAATGATGACAATATATACCTGTAATATATGATAAAATTATAGCAGGGACAAAATAAAAAAACATTGTAAAATATATAATGAGCAGCATGGTTTTGACACTCCCTCTCAAGCTGGTGTTCTGCATTCCCAGTTTGGTTATAATTCCTTCAAAATTAATACAGTTCAGTCCTTTGGTGAGTATGTGTGCAAGTTGATTTCAAGTGGACACATGGGGTACAAGTCAAGCCACTGTCTAGTTTTTCCTTGATGAAGTGTTGATAAGATAGGAAAAATGATTTTAAAAAGCTTGCTCATTGTAGCTTCATCAGTGCCAAGAGGTTCATTTACATTAAAATCGATAAAGTATAATGCATTTCATCCCTCAAGGAGTTGTGTGCGTTTTATAAAATTAGAGGGAAAATCTGTAATTTAAGGGAGATGAATGTAACTTACCTTTTTCTTTAAGCTTCAGTTTTTGAAATTCAGAAATTTGTCATATACCAACTTTTGGAATTGCAAGCACAGTCATCTTTCTAAAGCATTGCTAGTTTTGTCTAAATAATTCTTCTCCATGAATGATCGGATTTACAAATAAACAACCTCTTGTGGTGATTGCTTCCAGCTTTTGACCCCTTCCTGATAACCAGTCCTTTATTTCTGTAGTAATGTAGTTCTATCTGTCTAGTCTTCTATAATTAACTCTCTACACAAGGTATTGATGGGAACATATGCTTTGGTCACTCTTAAAATTGAATTAGCTATTGTGTAAGGTAACATATTAGAGGTACTAGAATGTCACTCTTTGACTCTTACCTAGGATCCAAAGGATCTATGCAGGCGATACTATAATTACCTTACCAGTTTGTGATATTTCTTGGCTGGTGTAAATTAATATAATCTATGCTGAAATATCAGTTTGGTTGAGCGAACTCAAATCTTCCATGTTTCACCCACTTCATGGATGATTCTTAAAGTCATGCTATTAAATAGTTTTGTATGCAGGGTGATACTTTAAACAAGTTTTAAAGGGTCATGCTGTATAGCATTCATGCATGTGATTAACTTTTTATACTTGTTCTAATATGTGGACGACTAATGTGATATTAAATGCTGTGCTTCTTAGTGCACTGTTCGTGCTACTGTTACTGGCTTTGCTGAGAACTTGGGAGATGATACATTTCACGGGTTTACTGAAACAGAAAATGTTCTGACAGATGCAATTCATTTACAGGTAATAATTTTCTTAAAATTATTTTTGTTCATTATGAAACTGGTTTTTTCTACTTTCCATGACTAAAATCTTAATATCTGAGTTTCATAATCAATTCTGCATCTTCTCCCTGCATTCTGTTCTGTATAATGGGATTTTGTAGCATATTTATTTTTGTTGTTACTTTGTCGTAAGTTGTCTTATCTTTGTATTGGTGCTACAATGCAGCTTGTTTCTACCCTTAGAGTTGATCCAGAGTACAAATTGATATATTTCAATCCTGATGCAAAGGTAACAATCACCTTTTGTTTGACTAGATATTTTATCTGGTGGCCACAGCTTGGGGTCCAGAATTATTTAACTGTTTGCACATTGAATTTGCATTGGTTGTACACTGGGTTTTGCCTTTTACTTTTTATTAGTAGATAGATAGATAGATTATGTATTTAGCCTAGGTTAAGGCAGTCCTGTTGGGGCAACATTTTATCAGATTATGTTTCGGTTGAGTGCAATTTTTTTATAGTATCATAAACACGTGGAACTTTTCGAAATTTGGCCTAGGCCTTTGAACTACATTTTATCAGTCCCATGGAAAAAACAAATGATTGCCTATTTTTAAAGATATTTTTCCTTTCTTAGAATGTGAGTTTGGGTCTAACTCAACCCCAAAAGGTAGCTCATGAGGCGAGGGTTCCACACCCCTCATGCTGAAGGAAGGAGATCTTGAGTGAACTTTATTAGACATCTTTAGGTGGTTTGGTAACTAGGGGACTGGTGGGCTTGATGCTAACCATAACCATTATGAAAGACTGATGCTATTTTAGAATTTGGTTCAAGCTGAACTCAATACCAAAAGCTAGGTCATGAGTCAGGGTCATCTCCCAGTTATACGCACTATTTGGCTTTCTTGTAGGATCTATAACAACATTCAAGGGTGTTTATTAGCTTGTTAGCTCAGCTAATTCCATTGTTCAGTGTTCATCTCAAGGTTCACTTCTCACTCCCAATGCAGGGGTTATGGTCCAACTTGCTTTTGCTACCCATCTTTTTGATACAAACATGTCTTACATAATGCTTTTTGTTCAAGAAATTAACTATTACTGCATTTTAATTGTGTTCTAATATCATATATGACTACAGGTAAACCTGACTATTGTTGGTGGGAGCTGTTTCTTGGAAGCTGTTACAAATGATTCTCAAGTTGTACAAGTTATTCAACCACCATCTGGATTTGAATGCCTACAATTGATTTTGTCCCCTAAAGGATTAGGGACAGCCAATCTGAATATATATGATATTGGACTAAATCCTCCACAAAGAGCTTCTGCACTGGTAAGATATGTCTTCCCTCAATTCAGGATTGTTTGAAATTTTAAGGAATATGCTTGGTTTAATATCCCTGCATCAGTTTTATGATCGATCATAGGATTTTGGAAACGTGTTGATATTAACCCTTGTCTGTTTGAATTATTAATATGCAACGGTGCACTTCTCTTTCTGCTTTTAGGACTCTTATATTTTACTAGTAACAAGCCACAAACTTGTGTTTTTTGTCATTTGAACAAAATGAAAACCAGATCTCGTAATTGGTTGTAGTGTAACACATTTCCTTCTTTCTTACTAGAAATATGAAATATCATTTCTCTTTCATACTTATTATTTAGTTTAGGAAAACATTATAATTGCATATTGGCTTATGTTTCTAATTTTGTAATTCTGCATTTACTCTACTGTATAGACTAAGTATCTGCTCTTTGGGCGACCAAAAATAAAAATAAAAATAAAAAATATTTATGCCCATATATCTAACTCGGATCTCCATTTTGTGAGTAAGCAGATATTTGGAAAAGATGGTTTTTTTTGGGGGAAATAATGGCTTTTTAAAGCATTTTATGAAAGTTGGAAACAATGTCTATTGTCCAACAAGGTTTTGACACTAAACATTCATTAAAGCTGATGATCTTGGGAGGGAAATTTATTAAGGGCAAAAGTTTTCAGCGGCTAGTATCAATAGGATTTCAAATTTTCTTCCTAGTGCGTTGTACTGCATCACAGCTTGGTCTTGGCATTTGATGATTAGATGATGTCATTTTATGTTAAATGCTTATAGAAGTTAAATATTTCAGGTTCAAGTTGCAGATATAGAGTGGATCAAGATCATATCAGGAAAAGTGATTAGCATGATGGTATGTCTTTTCTAAAAGGTTGTTGATTTTTTTGGGACTTGAGATTGAAAAGAAATAATTCTTGAGAGCTTGATGATCCCTCTCATAATCTTAGACACAATATAATCATGATAGTCTAACCTAGACACAATATAATCATGATAAATAGGATAATCTAGACACAATATAATCATGATAAATAAGATAATCCTAGACACAATATAATCATGATATGATAAATAGGGAACCCTAAACATAATATAATAATGATAAATAGGGTAAATATTTTAACAGGGTCATTATGGCTAATATGAGATTTGCTTGCATTGATACGAATCCCACAAAATGGTTTCACTTAAAAATTGGTAGTAAAGATCAAAATAAAGCTGAATAACTTCTTTAAAGCCTGCTCAAACCTAATTTCTATCAAATCTGATCTTATTTACATTAAATTTTATATGATCTTTACAGGAAGGAAGTTTGCAAACTATTGACTTATTGGCTGGTAGTACTGGCGGAAATAGTTTTGATGCTTCTCAGGTTTGAATAGTTTTTCCTATTTAGTTTTAGGAGCCACACTCCAGTTTCTTGTGCTTGTTCTGCATTAATATGGTCTCTTCTGACATAGTTGTTACTATACTGCCTTGAATATGCTCACTGAGACTGATATCTTTTACATTTTCTTGGTCATTTTGAATATCCATAGTGGGTTTTTTATTATTTATTTTTTATATAATTTTTTTTGAGTGGCAATTTGTTCATTTGGAAACTGTTACACAGTTTGTTTACATGAATCTTCATGTACACATTGAAGATAATATAATTGAGCTGGTGGATATTGACGATTTCTCAAGCCTTGTTGGTGGACATGTTAATGCACCAAGTTTTAAAATAAAAGGGAGACATCTTGGAATTACAACCCTTTATGTAAGTCTCTGGTCAACCTGTTTTATGATCTTCATCTCAGTCAAAATTCTTTAGACTTTTGAAAACTCTACAAGCTTATTTGTTATTTATTGAAACCAGGTCAGTGCTGTACAACATTTGGGACACGTAGTACAAAGTCAAGCTATTAAGGTGGAAGTTTACGCTGCCCCAAGAATACACCCTGACAATATTTTCCTACTACCTGGTGCATCGTATGTGGTATGTTCCAAAGTACAGGTGTTGTTTTTCATTGCTTAATTTGAAAGAATGTGTACTTTGAAAGAGACACATACTAAAATTCTCTTGGAATGTTTTTTATTGAGTAGGAAACGCCAAAGTTGACATTTTTTTTTTTGCAAAATAACTGCTCACAATTTGCTTAATATATCAAGATTCACATGGTTGTTTTTCGGTTCAAGATTTGGTATTGACTAAGTTAATTGCATCTATGTTTTTTCAATCAGTCACCTACTGTGTATTATTTGTCTAAATTTGCTTACTTGAATCTAGTCTATAATCATTTAAGGAGCCTATAGTACCTTGTTCATGAGCAAGTCAGGAAAAACCAAGTGAAGTAATTCGGCTTTTGCTCATGTGTCTCTTTTCCATACCTTTCTATTGTCTACATGTTTTAGCATTCTCTTTCTTCAATTGTTTATCTTTGCATTTTGGTGCATTGAATATTGGTCTGATGTGAAGTTTACACCATTGTTTTCTCCTATTTTCTTGCTTTGATGAAATAATGAGATGATGTTCTCTGCATAGCTTACCATGGAAGGAGGCCCAACTCTTGGGGTTCGTGTTGAGTATGGAATTGAAAATGATAAAATTGCAAGTATTGATAGATATTCTGGACGACTCTCGGCAAGTTCTATTGGGAACACTGTAAGATGTGAAAACCTGTTCAGACTTATTATTATTCCTTATTTTGTTTAGCTGTTTTTTTCTTTCTAATTTGTTATCTGTAGAAAAATATTCTCTTATTAAATTGATACCAATAACAGAGGATACAAATTATATTTATGAAGACAAATCTGCTATAGTTGAGGAAACTAAATCACGCATAACCGAAAGCAAATCTCCCACAGATAAGGAAACAGAATCATAGAGATATTTCTAAAAAGTAAATCTGATCTTATTCAGTTTTGTACCCTTTAACTTGATCCTACAAATCTGGATGGATATAGCATTCTTATCTTATCCATATCTCCATAATTTACTTTGAATAATAAAATTCTAATATTCCCAATTAGTCCACATTATCTAATATAGACATTCATGCATATGCTTCTTGTTGGAGATGACCAAATTATAGTATATAAGGGGAGACAAACCTCATCTTACTGAGTTGGAGCTGGTTTTATAGGGTTGAGTTAGGCTTAAGTCTACCTTAAAGACTGTTAGTGGAAAACGGCAAGTACACCGGTTGCACGTAGCAAGTAATAAATATCGTTTTCTCCATAGGGACTTGTTCAACACATGATAGCTCTTGCAATTCACAACTCAATTAGACAACAAATGTCACAAAAACACATAAACTCTTTTTGTATTTTTATCAAACATTTGGTGTGCAACAAGAATTTAACATAGAGTATTTACATATGTCAATATTAGATTTCATCCACTTCATTCTTATACATTCACAAATATCTCAATTCCAATTTTATGTTAAAATCAACTCACATGAATACTCAAATCCTATTTCTAGTGACCTTGAGCCTATGATAACTCATCAACTTCCAATTCCTTGAATCCTCAACAAGCGATCATGCATTATGATCAAGAGTCTTAAGATTAGTAATGATTCATGTTCTATCCCTAGATATACAAGCTCCATTAGGTACTTAATTTCAGTTCTAGGTTCAAAAGACATTTTCCAACACCTTAAGAACCATAAATCAAGGCACGAGTGATCTATCCACAACAAGCATTAAGCATAGAAATCAAATACTAACATAGAAATGAAAAAACATATGTATTAACATCACAAAATACACAAGATTCAGTTTATTACATTTAATCTCAACAAATAGGTTTAGCTCTCCATGGTAGAGAACCTAGGTCATACAAACTGAAGAGATAAGAAAGAAATTATAACCAAACTTTCCCAAGATTCTTCGCAGTTGCTCCATGCTCCAATCGCGCCTTCCCTTCAAATCGACATCTCCAATTCGTATTTCCTCTCTCTCATCAAACTCTAAAGGGGCATAACACCATGGATTAAGATTGAAGACCCAAGAAGGGGTGGGAGAGCTTCCCAACACCCCAAACAACCTCCAAGGACCTTTCTCAGTCGCCCTAGGTGGAGAGAAATGGGAGGAAGAGAATTCCCCAAAACCTCGAGGAAAACATGAATAAATACCCAATTTTGACATGTTAGCAAAGCCATTTCTAAGTGCCATCAGTTAAAACACGAAAGGGGCTCTCTATCAAACCACTGCTCAACGCAAGTTCTTCCGCACTAACTGGTGCTCAGTGCCACTTTTCCACCGCTCAGTGCTACTTGTGCAAGGGCTGGTGGCGCTCAGTTGCAGGCAATTTGGCAACACTCTATAATTGAAGTATTGGGCGTGATCCCAATGGTGCCCAACATGGGTATTTGCTTCAAATTGATCTTTTCTTATCCAAAACATGTTTCCTTGAGTTCTTGCTTCTTTTCCTCCACTAGAATTGCTCTCTATTCATTTATTTCACACACTTAAACAAAGATATTAAAGGTAAAACAAACATAAAGCCATTAAAATACAAAACACACTAAATTTGACAATAAAACAAAATAAAAGCTAGGAATAAGTTGATTTATTCATGACAATAGTCACACAAAAATAGGTAAAAGTAGATGTTATCAAAGACATGCTTTAATACAACTACACAAGGTAGATTTTTACTTTGGCTGAATAGTGTTTTGTTTGTGGCCATGTTTCTACTAGTGATAACTTGCTGATGTCACACAAGTTTTTTTTATTACAAACTACATGCTAGGCATCACTATTAACCTTGGTATCCCCTCGAGATTGACACCCCAACATTCAACAATCATATATTAGCACATGAAAAGCGCTATATAAAGGGAAGAATAAACATATACATGGAGGACCAAACCAAACTCATTCTAAAAAAGAAACAATTACTGTCCCACAAAGGATACACCTAAACAAAGTTGAAATCAGAGAGTTGATACCCGCTACAGAAAATAAAAAATATTAACAGGCAGAAAGACACTAAAGCACTTAAAGTAAGTTTTGCTACCCTCTATTTTATAAAAATTAATCAGGTCAAGGCAGTTTTCAGCAGCATAATCTTAAGCTTACGCTTTGTTAATATTTTATAGACTTTCACGAGAGGGGGTTGGTCAAATGTTAAAAACTATTGATTGGTCCATGCTTTACATACTAAGATTTATTGGATAGACTTGTTTTAATTGTATTTTAGTGGAAATCAGCCAACGGTGTGCTTTTTGGACACTGGCAATGCATGTTTCCTGGTCAAATCAGTGTTGTTTAGTATTAGACAATTCTTGGAACTCACCTTCTGTAGATAACATCAAATCTTCTATTTACCCTGGCGATAATCTTTTATTGTATGATTGACCTTGGCACTACCTGTTTAACTCTTTATTAACAGTACAAGTTCCACATGCCCATCACACATTTGTTCAGTTTACTTAAATTTGATCCTGACTACGTCTTTGATAAATTTATTTTGAAAGAATCAGTATTTCTCGTATGAAGGTCTGTAGTTCACAAGACAAAATGAGTCAAACTAAAAGAATAACTGTTAGTATAGTATATTTTATTCTGTTGAGATATTATTGGAAGTTTCAAATTTTATTCCTATTGGTTTTAATTTTGTATTTTGCGGTATCTTTGTTTTATTACTAGGATATAAATTCCACAGTCTCAGGGGAGATTTGTTTCCAAGAATAGGTTGTGCTTTTTACCTAAATTATCCTATCAATGTATGTGTATATACTAGAAATAATTAATATAAAAGAAAGAAGATTTTTATTCAATTGATTGATTTGAAACATAATATCAACTTCTATATACAGAGAACTAAAACCCTAAAGTAAGAATTACAATCTCTTAAATCTTCTAACAACTACTAACAAGTTCTAACAACTTCTAGTAATACATTTTAGTATTCTACTAACAACTATTGCACTTAATATCCAACTAACCACATTTAGTAGTCTATCAACTTTTAGTAATGCATTTAATATCCTACTTACAACATATGTATGAAATGTATGTAATGAGACTCAATAAGAGAAATTATTTTATTCTAATTTTTGAGATCCTCACATTTACTCTCTACTTTTTTCTACTTTTAATTTTTTCTGGAACTCACAAGCGAATCATTTCAATTTTTATTTCATATAAAACATATATTTATTCCTTTGACAGTTTGTGTTATGCCTTTTACATTCAATCATATATGGTTGGTGGAAGATATTTGTCTAATCCAAGATATTATTATTGTCAGACAATTACTGCTAGTGTCTTTGTGAATGGTAATACTGTAATTTGTGAAGCACGGAGTATTTTAAGGGTGGGAATTCCGTCTACTGTCATGTTGCATACGCAGAGTGAACAACTTGGGATTGGCCGAAAATTGCCAATTTATCCGTTATTTCCCGAGGTGACCATTAAAATCAAGTTTTCATTAATTTATGCATGATTGTATTTCAAATTCTAATATCGACTACCTTTTTTGTTTTGTTAGGGTACTCTGTTTTCTTTCTATGAGCTATGTAAAAATTACCAGTGGACCATTGAAGATGAAAAGGTTTGGCTGTCTCTTCAACTTTATCTTTCCATTTCAAAATGCATTACAGAGGACAAACATACTGCAACTCAAGTACACACCGTGTACACAAGTTACTCTCCTAGGAGTATGAATTCTGTATGGCCTAAAAACCATATTACAATTAAGCCAAATGCCAAGAAACTATTGAATCTGAAGGAAAGTGTGTTTTGGTCTAAATAGTAAAGATACCGTAGAAATATGGGTGAATATATTGCACATAACTGTACAATAAATATTGTTTACTGCCTACACATTTTTTCACTGATATAAGTGATTAGAAACAATGCTTCTTACAGCTCCGCCTGAAGCATATCTTTTCTGTACATATCATGGAGTCAGGTTCATCGAGTTTGGAATTCACCCAATCCAATTTTAAATGGGTACACTAAAACAAATTCAACCTGACTCGATACACAAAAGTCTATTTAGGTTGTGTTGACTAGATTCAAGGGTTGGATACAACTTGCTTTCACCTCTAATCAAGAGCATAGCCTTCCAATTCCCACTCCCACTAAAATAAGCACCGGGATTTAAAACTGTAAATTCAAGAGAGTAACTGTCTGTCCTTATACTGCATATCTTTTCAGTTAGGTAATGTCCTCTTTAGTGAATAACACTCAAAGGTAAGCTAAATAATTTTGTCTTTGTTTCTATAGGTATTGAGCTTTAAGGTGGCAGAGACCTTGCACGGGGATGGGATCCAGTTTACTACTTCAGCAAGAAGTGAAGTTAATAGTTATTTTGATGAGAATAACCTTGGCTTTATTAATGTCTTGTATGGAAGGTATTAAGGAATTTGACATTTAAGAATAATATTACATAATAAACAATGTTTAGTAGTACTTTACTTTAGCCTTTGGGTATACTATAACTTCCTCCACCTTCCAGTGTATCATATTTGTATGTCTAAATCTTTTTTACTTGTCTTTTATGTAATTATTAGATGTCTGAAGCCAAATAATGGTCTATTATGCTTCCAGTTAGCATATTATTGGTACAAGGTCTTTTTAATAGTCATGTTGGTTTTCCTGTAGTTCTTTTTCTTGTTACTGAAATTAGTTCCTTGTAAGAGCAATGTAAAAGTGTACACAGGGTTTGACATTTCAATGAAGAAATGATTATAAACTATTTCAAAAATAGGGTTGAGGAATCTGTGATTCAGTTCTGGATGTTTGTTTTTCAGATCTCCAGGCAAGACCAATGTTGCTGTGTCTTTCTCGTGTGAACTTTCAACTTCTGGGTCAAGGGCACAGTCCATGTTTTACAGTTCATCTTTGTCAGTAACAGTGATTCCTGATCTTCCACTGGCTTTGGGAATCCCCATGACCTGGATTCTTCCTCCCTACTATACAATGACGAACCGTTTGCCTTCATTGTCGGAATCCTATGCACAATATGATAGTCGAAATCGCAGGGGAACCATCAGCTATTCTTTATTGAGAAGTTTAGAGAAAAACGATGCTATGCAAAAAGATGCCATATTCATTGACGGGGACAGAATTAAAACTACCAAAAGTAATAATCTTGCTTGTATTCAAGCTAAAGATCGTACTACAGGAAGAACAGAGATTGCTTCTTGTGTCAAGGTTTCTGAGGTATGGAATAATCTTTTGCTTACTGTTTATTTGGGCCTACTTCTTGGCACTCATGATCAATGTCTCCTAATTCTAATAAAGCTAGAATCATACTTGCAACAGAATGATGACAGAAAATACTGAAATGTAATTGAACTATGTAAGGAAATAAAGAATTATTTTATTGATAACAATCACAACAAATACATTCTCATCAACCCTTTGTAATAATCAAATCCTTTAAAATAAGGAAATAAAAATATATTGAAATGAATAAAAGATTCTAAAGATATTTTTTCCTAATTGCCATAGAGATATTGAGAATATATTTATCCTAATAATATATTATTTGCAACAAATATCAAAACATTAATATCATGCGCTGTAAGGACTATTTATTGACTGTATCGATAAAGCAGTATTCATATAAACAACTATAAATCATTTCTTTTGCATAGACGAATTTTCTCACAAATAATATTTTCATTACACACTTATTACCTAATTGGGTTCGGCTGAGTTTATTAGGTTTAAAATTCATCTAGTCATTATTACTAAACCCTGATTCTAATTTTGTTCGCTAGAAAAAATTCAACTCAATCCACAAAAATGTAACTGGGTTGGGTTGGATGGATTGGATGTTTGTTGCAACCTGTCTACACCCTTAATTACAGTAGTGAAGTTTAATGGATTGGATTAATTCAGAAAATGCTTAATGGAGCAATCATATATAGAATTATATCCGTTGTATTTATATATACATGTTTAGTTTATATATGTGTGTGGACCTTGGTGCATATAGTAAATACAGTCCAAGGTTGATTTTTAATGAATTTTAAAGAGGTAAGTATTCAAAAAGGGAGAGAGAGTAATCTTAAATAGATAGGTTGGACATCTATTTATTAACAAGTCATTAATGGATTGGATGTTTTTTAATACTTAGTTAGTGGACCATAAATGGTTTTTTAATCATTTTTTTCTGGTCCATTCATAATGGTTAATCCATAAATCATTGTTGCTGGTCTGCCATCAGCAGAATTACTACCTATTTTATTAACCATGCTAATTTGTATTGTTTGGAAATTTTATCCACTTGACAAATTTATTCAATATTATAATCAGGTGACTCAAATTAGAATAGCCAGTAAGGAGGTTCTCCTCAATGTGATTAACCTTGCTGCTGGTGCAGAACTTGATCTTCCAACAAACTTTTATGATGCTTTAGGTATCAATGCGTCCTTGACAGTGAATCGAATACAGGAACTTTTGAACTGAAAAGTAGTAATCTTTTATTGTCTCTTATTGTCGTTCAACAGGAAATCCTTTCCACGAAGCCTACAATGCTGTGCCTTTTCATGCTGAAACTAACTACCCTGATGTTCTCTATGTAAACAAAACAGCTGATGGAAAAGGCAATGTCCATATCAAGGTTTGTTAATGACTTTTACTGGAAATAATTTTTTCTTGATTCCCTTGTTCTTATAATTTGGATCAACAAGCTAAATAAGATCATACAGCTTCCACAATCATAGATTTTTGGAACCATGACTTTTCTTTTTATCTTGAAAAGTGTCCCAAAGGACTTAGGTCTCTAACAAAGCCAATCCTGTATTGTGTTGTCATGATCAGGTTAATTAGTGAACTTTATGCATTGTGATTCAACTTGAGTGCTTTGTTTGTCTGAGAAAGAAAAGGAAAAGGGAGAAGATAGAAAGTAGTGAGAAAGAGTATATTTTTAAGGGTTGTTTGCTACAATAAAATATTAAAATATGAAGAGAAAAAAAATGAAATGTCATTAAATAGACGATTATGTTCCTATTAAAAATATTGTTATAAGTAGATATAAGGCCATTTTAGGAAAGATGCAAATCATTGTTTCCTTTTATTTTTTCTCACCTATTTCTCTCATGTCAAACTAGGAGAGTTTCTCCTTTCTCACATCTCCCCCCCTTCAATTTCTTTCTCTTCTATTTAACCTAAACAAAACAGAGAACAGAACTTATTAAGTCCATTGCTTTAGAACAAACTATATTTGTTTAGAGTCTGAAGATTTTGAGTGTCTGGTATTTTTGTTCATTTTACTATCTGTGAGTTTTTGGCTCAGCTAAGTAAATTAATAGAATTCTTGTCCTGACTGCTGATGGTTGAAGGCAATTCGGCATGGTAATGTTCTTGTGCGTATATCAATTAGTGAAGATCTGCAGAAATCAGATTATGTGCTGGTAAGTAATAGTTTTCCCCAAAAATCTGCACAAAGTTGTTTACTGTTCTATGCAGATATCTTAATCTCCTATTCTGTATGCTAAATTCTAGAACCTATACTTTAACAATATTAGATCAATTTCATCCTGATGCCTGATACACCTAAACTGGCTTATAATTTTATTCAAGGTGATTTACATTTTCGGAACTGAGTTAATCTTGTAGCCTTGTAGGTCTTGCTCTCATTTATTAAAATGTCTGTTAATATTGGCTATCTGTTAGCATTTGTTAGTTTCCGTTAGTGAGATAGTTAGCTGGGCTGGGATAATTAGAAGAATCAATGCATGTTTCCTGTGAATAGAAGAGGTCGAGAGACCATATTACCTCAGATTGTGAGAGAATTGTGGTCTGTGGGCTTTAGAAGGTATGCAGCATCGTGGATCTGCCGTGCTTCTTTGTAATTGAGGTTTAACCTCACTATTTCTTCATAATAATATTCCTAGTTCTATAGGTCGTGTTCCTTCTAGTAAACAAAATCCTAGATTGAACTTAATGATCACTAACCATCTAACATGATCAAGTTAGTTGTTTGATTATTGTTTTTAAAGACAGTTTTTATTTCTAAGAAAATCTTCCGTGATAGAGGTTGTTTTAGTTTTGCATTCTTTGAAAGTTTTTTAATGAAAGTTTAAGACTTTGAAAAGCAAGTTATTGCTTTTACAGTGACATTTATAAACGAGGAAGGACCTACACCTATGCACAATAACGTGTTGCTTTGCTTGCTATGTCCAACACTTTTGGGCACGACATGTTAGATATGTCTTTCACAGATGTCTGACACACTTCAATTGTGTCACAATGAAAAACTATTTTGTTGTGCTCTGACACCTCTTTTACATAGCTTGAGCAATTTGTAAAGAAAGTGAACCAAAATCTGTTCTTGGTTAACACTTCCTAGACATTCCTTATCATAAAGAAAGTGGAAAACAAATTATATTATAAATAATGCAAATCTCATTTTTTGGTTTGTTTCTATAAAGCCTTGACCAGTTATTTAAGCTATTAAAATTTATGTTTCTTGTTTAGAATTCTATTGGGAGGACTGTTATTATAAGGAACTGTAACAAATTTGTTTTTATAGTGCATATAATACTGAACTTCCAATTGATTGAGATTTTTGTCATGATTATATATATCAGTGGTGGTGTTATGTCCTGTAATTTGGACATAGCCATGTCCCAGTGTTTGTGCTACTGTCATCTCTGGTATTGCGTAGAGTTCATATTTATAAATAACATGGTTCCTACAACAATTTTAGAATAAAGTATTAATTTTGAATATCATCTACCAATGATGATCCATTGATATTTTATTTGCCAGCATTTGATCTTCTTCCATCTCCTGTGTATTTTCAAAATCATGTTACCAAACTTGCTTTTTCTTTTTACTTTTTGTGAACAGCTTTTCAAATTATTTTAACAAGTAATTCTGAAAAAGGAAAAAAAAAACAGAATAAAAATAGTTGCCATATTTCCTTATTACATCTAGACTTGTTTTCTTATTTAATTAGAATTAAAATTCTAAAAATACAACTATAAATAAGGATTAGTGTTTTGTCGTTTGTGTCAGAATATGTGAATTATTGTGCAATTAATATAGCAATTATGTGTAATCCTGCAATTATGTCTAATCCCTAAAATTAAGGGATTAGGATTAGTAATTATTGGGCAGATTTCCTTTTATTAAGATCAGGTATTATTGGGTAGATATCTCCTGATTTAGAGACTTTATTTCAGGAGATTTTTTACCTTAATTAGACAATAGTTTGTTTCTTTTTAAACACTTATGTATTGTTTCAAAAGTATGAATGAGAGAATAATTAATTCCAGCATCCTACTACTGTTTTACAACATGGTATCAGAGCTCTAGGTTTTTCCTGGAGCCCTGGTCTTTGTTTTTTGTCTCACGGCCTTCATTGCCGTTCCTCAACTATTGCTGGCCTTCATTGCCATTCTCGTCCCAAAAAAAAAAAAAAAAAAAAAAAAAAGGGGCAGCCTTAATTGCTGCTGTTATTCTTTCCGCTGTGTTAACCTAACATCCGATTACAATGTCTGGTGCTACATCAAGTAGAGAAGTCTCTAGTCCTTCACACAAAAATGGAGAACTCCAAGGTCTCCGAGCGTCATACAGGTTGGATGGAAAAAATTTTCTCAAATGGTCCCAGTTTGTTAGAACCTATCTCAAGGGAAAAGGATGCCTGGTTCATCTCCTTGAAAATGGTCCAAGCATGGAGGATCCAGCATTTGCAGCATGGGATGAAAAAGATTCCATGATTATGTCTTGGTTGTGGGACTCCATGGAAGCTACCATCAGCGACACTTGTATGTTTCTTAATACAGCTAAAGATATTTGGGACTCCATAAACCGCACATATTCTAAAGCCAATGATGCTGCCCAAGTATATGAAATCAAAATAAAAACTGCAGCCACAAAACAGGGAAGCAGAGGAATCACAGAATATGCGGCACTGTTGCAGAATCTATGGCAGGAACTTGATCACTACAGAGTTTTTGAAATGAAGTGTGCTGAGGATGCAATCCTCTTGAAGAATTTCATAGAGAAGGATCGTGTGTATGATTTTCTTGCAGGACTAAATCCTGAATTTGATCAAGTTAGAGTGCAAATTCTAGGGAGAAAGGATACTCCTTCACTAGAAGAAACCATCTCTATTGTTCGTGCAGAAGAAAGTCGAAGGAGTGTAATGCTTGAGTCTCAACCAATGGATGGGTCTGCTCTACTTACCAAACCTGAACTGGTGCAGAAAGGAAATGAGCAAATTCCTAATTCTCTATGGAAAGGAAATAGAGATAATTTATGGTGCACCTATTGTCAGAAACCGAGACACACAAGGGAGAAATGTTGGAAATTGCATGGCAAACCTCCAGGAAAGGAGTGGGTGAATCGTGGAGGACAACAAAAGTCCCAAGTGCACATAACACAAACAGAGATTAAAGAATCTCCAGCAGTAGACAGTTTCAATATGGAAGAAATAAAGAAATTGAAGAAGCTATTGGGGAATATGGAGGAACCCTCTGGATCATGTTCTCTTGTTTTCTCAGGTAAAACTTCTTGTATGAATACCTCATATAATGTGAACTCTTGGATTGTGGATTCGGGAGCTACAGATCATATGACACATTTATTCCACTTGTTTCATTCTTATACACCCTCACCAAGTAATAGAAAAATTATTGTTGCAAATGGGTCAGTAGCTACTGTTGCAGGATATGGTAATATCCAAGTAAACCCGAACCTTATGCTTAAAAACGTTCTCCATGTTCCCAAACTCTCAGCCAGTCTTCTCTCCATAAAGAAACTAACCTCTGATCTCAATTGTTCTGCAATGTTTTCCCCATCTCTATGTGTTTTTCAGGAACAGGACTCGGGGAGGAGGATTGGACTTGCTAAAGAAAAAGATGGTCTTTACTACTTGGAAGTATCTAAAGAATCCCAAACCAACCAAGCAAAATCCCTTCACAGTATAACAAATAAGGATGAACTATGGTTGTATCACTATCGTCTAGGACATCCATCATTTAAGGTGCTACAATTTATGTTTCCTCATTTGTATGAAAACTTAGATATCTCAAAGCTTCATTGTGAAACTTGTGAGTTAGCGAAGCATACTCGTGCTTTTTTTCCCAACAGCAATAATAGAAGCTCTCAACCTTTTCAATTGATTCATAGTGATATATGGGGACCGTCTACAGTACCAAATATTTCTGGGGCCCGCTGGTTTGTAACATTTATTGATGATTGCACTAGGGTTACTTGGCTCTATTTGCTTAAACAAAAATCTGATGTCAGCACTATCATTCCCATATTTCACTCAATGATCACAACTCAATTTGGAGTTAATATTAAAAGGTTTAGGACCGATAATGCTAGAGATTATTTCAACCAAACCATATCCTCGTATTTCCAATCTAATGGGATCATCCATGACTCTTCATGTGTTTATACCCCACAACAAAATGGAGTGGCAGAAAGAAAAAATGGGCATTTACTCAATATAACTCGGGCTCTTCTTTTTCAAGGGAATGTTCCAAAAAATTATTGGGGAGAAGCTGTTCTTACTGCATCATATCTTATTAATAGACTTCCCTCTCATGGCCTAAGTAATAAGAGTCCAATAGAAGTCCTAAATAATTTCTTTCCTCACTTTAAGAAATCAAATGGATTGATTCCTAGAATATTTGGATGTACAGCCTTTGCACATGTCCCTGTTCAAGCTAGAGATAAACTGGATCCCAGGGCTGTTAAATGTATTTTTTTAGGATATTCAGCCACACAAAAAGGGTATAAATGTTATGATCCTATCATTAAAAAATGGTATATCTCAGCTGATGTTACTTTTCTTGAAACTAAACCTTTTTTTAACAAAACCAATCCTACAGAACAATGTCTAGAAGACCCTCATGAAAATACTGAGTTCTTAACTCTGCCATATATCACAACCAACAGATCTGAGCCTCCAACTATACAACATAATTCTGAACGAGGATCAGAAGCTATGGATACAGATTTCCCCATTGAAGCAACTCGAATAGAAGCTGACAATCCTCCGAGATTTAACAAGGTTTACACCAGGAGAAAGCAAATTCCAGAGATGATGCAAGTCCATGAATCCAATCCAAGTTCTGCACCAGAAAATGAAGAAATACCTGAACCAGAAAATGAGATTGACCTTCCAATAGCCATCCGAAAAGGTACTAGAAATTGCACTAAAAAACCTCTCTATCCTCTCTCAAATTATGTTTCTTATGATAGATTATCAGCTAATCATAAAAGCTTTATTGTAAACTTGAATTCTGTGGTTATACCAAATAATATTATTGAAGCACTAGCAAAGAAAGAGTGGAGAGATGCTATGCAAGTGGAAATGACAGCATTAGAGAAGAATAACACTTGGGAAATTGTGGATAAACCCAAAGAAAAGAATATTGTTGACTGTAAGTGGATATTCACAGTAAAATATAATGCTGATGGGTCACTTGAACGATACAAAGCAAGATTGGTGGCCAAAGGATACACTCAAGCATATGGAATAGACTATGAAGAAACGTTTGCACCAGTTGCTAAAATGAATACTCTAAGGATTCTTCTATCCTTAGCTGCTCATTTTGATTGGAAACTACTACAGTATGATGTTAAAAATGCCTTTCTTCATGGAGACCTAGAGGAAGAAATCTACATGAACATCCCACAGGGGGTTGAAGGAGATAGACAAAATAAGGTGTGCAGACTTAAGAAGGCACTATATGGACTGAAACAATCTCCTAGAGCATGGTTTGGGAGGTTCTCAAAAGTTATGAAGGGATTTGGCTACAAACAAAGCCAAGGAGACCACACGTTGTTCATAAAACATTCAGAAAAGGGGAAGGTAACAGTTCTTTTGGTGTATGTGGATGATATTATAGTAACTGGGAATGATGAAAAAGAAAAGGAAAAATTGAAACAAAGACTAGTCCAAGAATTTGATCTCAAAGAGCTTGGAAAACTGAAATATTTTCTAGGAATTGAAGTAGCATACTCTACCCAAGGAATTTTTATATCCCAACAAAAATACATAACCGATTTGTTGGCTGAGACGAAGACTATTGGATGCAGACCCGCAACAACTCCAATGGACCCCAATCACAAACTGAGTAAATCTGGAGATGAACCAGAAGTAGAAAAAAGGATGTACCAGAGGCTGGTTGGAAAATTAATATATTTGGCGCATACCCGACCAGATATTGCCCATTCGGTAAGTGTAATAAGTCAGTTTATGCATGAACCAAAGGAGTCTCACCTTCAAGCTGCCTATAGGATTCTACATTACTTAAAAGGCACTCCTGGAAAGGGAATCCTATTCAAGAAGAATGAAAAATTGAACCTTGAAGCCTACACCGACGCAGACTATGCAGGATCTCTAATTGATAGAAGATCGACTACTGGATATTGTACTTTCCTGGGTGGAAATTTAGTAACTTGGAGAAGTAAAAAACAGAATGTAGTGTCTAGATCATCAGCTGAATCAGAGTTCAGAGCACTTGCTCAAGGAATATGTGAATTATTATGGATAAAAATTATTCTGGATGATTTGAAAGTTGATTTGAAGGGTCCCATGAAACTGTACTGTGATAATAAATCAGCAATAGAAATTGCACATAATCCGGTTCAACATGACCGGACAAAACACGTTGAAATAGATAGACACTTCATCAAAGAAAAAGTAGACGAAGGTCTATTATGCATGGCGTATGTCCCATCCAGGCAACAAGTAGCTGATGTGTTAACAAAAGGTCTCAATAGCCCTATCTTCCAAGATCTTATAAGCAAACTGGGAATGACCAATATCTATTCCTCAGCTTGAGGGGGGGTGTCAGAATATGTGAATTATTGTTCAATTAATATAGCAATTATGTGTAATCCTGCAATTATGTCTAATCCCTAAAATTAAGGGATTAGGATTAGTAATTATTGGGCAGATTTCCTTTTATTAAGATTAGGTATTATTGGGTAGATATCTCTTGATTTAGAGACTTTATTTCATGAGATTTTTTATCTTAATTAGACAATAGTTTGTTTCTTTTTAAACACTTATGTATTGTTTCAAAAGTATGAATGAGAGAATAATTAATTCCAGCATCCTACTACTGTTTTACAACAGTTTGTAACACTTGCAACGAGTTGTATACGTGATATATGCTTTTTTCCATGTATTCATTGTCACTTAATGAATTGTTCTTGCGCAAGTTGTACATGTGACACTCACTATTCTTCCTTTTATTCATTCAACTTGCTAGATCACTTCCTGTGTTCTCTTCCAATATCTGAATCTGTGTATGTTTTTCCACCTTTTGCAGATTAGAGTGGGTGCCCATATATATCCGCAAAATCCAGTTCTTCACATAGGAAGTCCTCTTAACCTAAGCATAAAAGGTGTGGTCATTTTGGATGGTTGCTACTAATTTATTTTTCTATCAATGTCTTATCTCTTGAAAAAATTTCTTTTCTAAAAGGTTGTACTTATCAGATTTAGCTTTGTCTAACATGATTTCTAGAGTTACTTTGTTAACCCAGCACTGGAGCAAACAATTATTTCAATTGCTTGACTGAGTTTTGAGTTCAGGGCATTTCATCTTTTCCTTTTACTAAATTATTCCATAGTGGTAATGGATTTTACCTTTAAGTTTCAGGTTTGAGTGATACAGTTTCTGGACAGTGGTTTACTACAAATAGAAGTGTAGTATCCGTTGATACACTATCTGGGACGGCCAAAGCTATTGGGCAAGGTTCAGCCCAAGGTGCTAGATTTTAGTACTGAAAATAAACCTTTTAAATGTCATTCTGGAGTTTTTGCTTTATAAACAATTATTACTCCCTCACTGAATGTTATTATGAGCAGTATCTTTCCGTTATGGAGGATCAAAACTGCAAACAACAATTACAGTGTTGAAAGGAGATTATATTTCTTTGCTTGGCCCAAAGGAGATGTTAACTAATGTCCCATACCCCTCGAAAGGATACAACTTCTCCGTGAAATTCAGGTTTGTGAATTATAACTCTATGGACTTTAACTTGGTTTGAAGAAAGCAACCTGCTTTTCTGACTGACTAGATTGTATAGTAATTCCTACAGTGAATCCCTTGGTGCACCTGGAGAAAACACGAGAATTTTATTCAATTGTAGAGTAGATCCACCATATGTGGGGTATAGATCTTTAACCATTTCTTTCTTTTGATTCTTTAAAGTGAACAATTCATTCTTAGATATATCTTCTACCTCCATTCACTGAAGGTACGTGAAGCCATGGCTGGATCAGGAATCTGGCAATTCATATTGCTTATTTTTCCCTTACTCACCGGAGCATTTGGTGCACTCAGTACCTAAGTTAGAAGGCATGAGGCCAGATGTATCAGTCTCCATTTCTGCTTCTCTTGAAAATGAACATATATCTGGATCTGCTTCAGCACTTTTTATTGGCGGATTTTCTATAATGGAGATGAGCAAGGTGTGGATCTTTGATTCTTCCTCGTTTTATTGCTACAAATTACATTTCAGAATTAGGCAAGAGTGCTTGATTTATGAAGTTTAGTGCCTGTGATTTTCTTGATCTGGATTCTTGACCATTTTAATCTCCTTTATGCTTGTGATGTGCCAAATTGCAAATACATTGGATCCCTCACCCCAACCTGATTGTGAAATGAAAATTAGTCTATGATGTTAATATGTTACCCCCATACCCTCAGAATCCGTTGCTGCTGAATCTGACACCAGGCTCAAACAAAACTGCCATTACCATATTGGGAAATACTGGTAAGATGACATATCTTCGTTTTTTTTCTTCTATGATCATTTTGTTGCTTGATCACCCAATACTTTTGTCAGAAGTTGATCTTCATAAAAATATTGTGGTCTGGTGGGGATGTAAATCATTGTGATGGGTCCCGTGGAGATGTTCCCGGTTGTCATCTTTGATAATTGTTGAGAACATAGTTGCCACAAAAAATTGTTGCTGTCGTCTACAATATGTAAGGTTAAACGTTGGCCTTTTTGTTATAGATGTTGAAATTCACTGGCATCATCGAGATTTGATTATGATCAGTCTCATCCACAGAGAAGATATTGGCATTCGTGGGTATGCACGGTATGAGGTGAGTACTTTCAATGGATTTCTTCACTGGTCAAATCTAAATTTGAAGTTACAGAAACTAGGTGATTTTTTAATACCTTGAGTTGAGCTTTGCATTTCTTTTATGCGTACTGCAAGCCGGTGCTAAAGTATCATCTGAGAAGTTGCAGAGCTATAAAGTGAACTAATCCCGTTGTTAGACATGCAATAAATGTGCTGATTTTGGATTTAAAATACATTCGAATTTATTTTTCTTGTCCATGTCTCCAGGTTCAACTTCTGAAAGCCAAGAGATTCAGAGACAAAATCCGCATCACACTTCCAGCTAATGGTTACGTATTCGTGAAGCTTAATATTACTTAATTACCTTCGGCATTTATAATTTTTTTTTTCTCAAAAGGGAATAAACTCAACACTGTTTGGGTAAACTTCTTTATAAACATTTATGGAGAAGAAAATAAGTAAAATGAAACAAACTTCTCCCAGAAGTTAAAATCAACTTTTGGAGATACTAAATGAAATAAGCCTATCCAAATTAGCCTATGGGATAAATTTGTTTCATTGGTCGATTTATTTTCATATACATGTACTTGTAGGGAAGTTTATTCAAACAAATTTTAAGTCTGTTAGAGTTCACTATTCTAGTCTCTGAAAGCATAAAAGTGCGGTCACATTAGTCTCTAAGCTATTATTTTACCCTAAAGTTAACCACTTAATGTCACCTTAGTCGTTGAAATCATATTAATACTTATAGAGATTGCATCTTTGACTAAAGTGGGTGATAGATTGCACTTTCACGAGCTTACTTGAATTTTAATACTTATAGAGATTAAAGTGACAGCCTCTTGATGATGACGTTGGATATTCATCCCAAAGTTTAATCTTCCTTTTCCCTGTTTTATTACAGGCCAGAGTGTGGAAATAGACGTCAACCATGAACCTGAGGAAACAGCACCATCCAGCATAGCCATAAATAAAGCCTTCTGGGGAAGTATTCTGGGATGTTTTCTGCTGTTGATTTTATCAATCGTTATCTTCACACGTTTCTTCGAGAAACCAGAGAGATCTCAGCAAACAAGTTCCTCGGTTACTACAACTACAAGCATTGCAGCTCCCATAACTCCTGATAGAAGCAACCCGTCTGCTGTAAATGAAATGTCTCCGCGAACACCTCAACCATTTGTAGACTATGTGAGGAGAACCATCGACGAAACTCCATATTATAAGCGAGAAGGGAGAAGAAGGGTTAATCCACAGAACACGTTTTAGACTCTTCCACTACTCTCACTTCTGATAAGACCTGACTAATGTTGTATGTTTTCTAAACCTGAGAATTTTGTTATCTACATCTAGCTGTGCAAATTTAGGAATGTGTTATCATTCTTTGATCATCACGTTGCATATTTGTCTCGTTCTTAGGCTAGTGCTGCAGTTTCATTACCATTTAGGGATGTTTGTAATTGCTCTACCTTATTGCTTCACCATGTTTGTAACTTGTTTTTTAAATGATGGTAATGCAATGTCGCTTGTAAAATAGGATTACATTTGTAGGGTGGTAGATGATGAAACGGTGGACTGAAATATAACTAAGTAGAATGGATTCAAAATGCCATTTTGTTATTTGGATATTAATAATTAATTATGAATTCGATTAAGGATTTCTAACTTTCTAATTTTATATTTTTGTTTATTTTACAACTCTTTAATTTATTGTATGTACTATATTTGATAGAAAATATAGAATTGAGTGGAAGAAATATTGTAACAAATAACTTTTTAGGAATGTATGTTGTGTTTTAATATTTAATACCTTTTTAGGATGATTTTTAAATATAACATAATTCGTGGACAAGTTTTTAGCATAATTGGTTGCTTGATGTTGCTCTTGTGTAATCTTAATGTTCATAATTGTTTTTCGAGGACAAGAAGTTAAAACTTGTTAATATTGATACACGCTTTATCATTCTTTCAAGGTTTAATAACCTTTTGTCTTTTTATTCATTAAATTTTCTTCGTTTAATTTCACTATTTTAAAAGGCCTTTATTTAAAATTGTTTTTAAATTTTATATTTATTTGCTTTAAATTGTTATAAAATTTGAATGTCTCGCGACATTTCATATTAACACAGTTTGATCAAGGTTTGATATAGTTTGATCAAGACCTTTACAACTCAACTCGACTAATTGTCAATTTGTTTGGCTCGTATGCCTAGTTTTTTATTTTTGTCATCGAAAGTGTAATATCACATGGAAACAAATTGAAATTTGAATTTTTACATGAAAACAAGTAGATGACGGGTTGTTGGGATGAAAATTGAAACGAATTATCATATGGATTGTTTCAAATATTGGTCAACCTATATTAGACCTTAGTTAAGTTGTATCAGACCTTAGTGAGACTGTCGGGTTAGGTTAACATGAAGTATTGTGGCATAAGTTTGATTTTTTTTTAATGATGTGTCGGGTTAGGTTAACATGAAGTATTGTGGCATAAGTTTGATTTTTTTTAATGATGTTCGGCTAGCCCGATTGACCCGCGAAGTTAGCCTATAATCAATTACATGTACCAATTGCATTTTCAAAATTGGAAATTATCTTGTTCCAAAACGACTTTCTATTGAAATTGTTAGGTCCCCTAACGATTCCAATGTAATGTAAATATTCATTATAATCAATTACATCACCTTAAAGTCGTTGGGAGACTAACAACTTTCAGTTTCAACGCGATCAAAACAAAAGTCGTGTGGGGTTGCACAACTTTTCCATTTAATTTTTTGTGAGGTTATATGACTTGTCTATTATCGTATCTTTTTTTTAAATTTTCTTATTTTCATAATTATTGCACCAAATTATGTGTATACAGGCTAGATTGCAATTAGTATGTACAATGATGACATATCAACTAATGTAATAGCCATCTCACACATTGATAGATAAAAATTGTTGATATTTTTGTGGCACCTCTAAATAAAGATAGACAATAAGCATTTGCACTTACCTCATATCCAAAAGTGCAAAATGACATGTAATAATCTACATTACTCAAATACATATGGCGGTGTGGTGTATTTAACTTATTCATGTTGTGTCCATTTCATACCAACTTCAAGCTTCCACGATACTACAATTATAAAAAATTAATATATTATTGGAAACAAAATAATATATGCCATATTTAAATTCTAACATAACCACCTTACTAATTTGTCATATGATATATGTATATTGTTACCACTTAAGAATCCATTATGTTCTCTCATAAATGGTCCATTGAAGGTACTATTCTTTTAACACACATTTTTATTAACATTGTCCTTTAGGTGACTAGGTCCCAAAAATTGTAAACCATGTGATTTGTATAATTTTTTTTTACTGAGATAAGAAATTTTCACACATAAATTATGGAATTAGGAAAAATTAAAAAAAATTATGAAAATAGGTAAGTCGTGCAACTCCTACACAACTTCAAATGAAGAAGTCGTGTATGTCCACGTGACTTCTACTCTGACACCGTTGAAAAGTGAAGTTGTCAGTCCTTTCAATGACTTCAATGTGATGTAATCGATTATAATGCATAGGTAATCAATTAAATTAAGTTAAAGTTGTTGGGGAGTCTAATGACATTAAAAGTTATTTTGGTACAAGACGACTTCTAATTGGATAATACATATTGTAATAGATTATATGATACTTGTAATTAAATACTAGGAGAGGAGAATGAAAAAATAATATATATATATATATATATATATATATATATATATATATATATAAATGTATATGATCATTTAATCAAATACAAATAATTGATTCTCTCGCAAACATAATTAATTCCATGATTTCCATGTCAAGCGTCTTTGATTTTGTAAATTATGATATCATATATGTTGTGAAAAAGATTCTACAAATTCTATTCCAAAACACAACTTATATGTTTTAGAAAGTTTCTTCTACGAAGCTCGTTATGAAAACCGTCTCATATATTCTCTTACAAGCCTATTTCAAAAATCTTATTTTTCAAAACTCATTCCATAATACATGTTATGTTCTAAAAATTTGGAAAAACTTGTTGCAAAACATTTCCACAATAGATTATCCACAAGTCACTTTTATGAAGGATAAAATAATTATTTAAAAATTATGACGTACAGTTAGAAATTATACGGGGTGTAGGAAGAAAAAAAGAGCATTTTTCTCTTCTTTATTCTCGACATCAGCCCCACTCACTCTCAGAATAAAAAAAATAAAAAATAAAAAAAAATAGAAAAGGGTTTTACAAAATTTAAACACGAGAGAGAAGCAATATCCATCTAGGGTTTCTCTTTTTACTTTTCTCATTCTCTTTCGCTTTCGCTTTCGCAAGCTCTTCTGAATTCGCAAGCTATGGAATCTCCCGGTAACGAGCATGTGGTGGATGCCGCTGACCCCAACGACGTCGTTACACCTTTCTCTCACAGAGAAGAACCCCACAATTCCCAACCCCTCACCGGCGACGGTGCCAGTCCCGGGTAATATGCCCTTTTCCATTTATTTATCGTAGTTTCTTTTGTTTTTTCGGAAATTTTTTAAATTGGAGCAATTCGGCAAAAGCAGCTCATGAAAAGAACCAATCTTTCTGCACTTCCTAGAAAAAGGGTTTTCAATTTGTTGGTATTTAGATTAGACGATAATAATGTTCTTAGATTTGGTTCTAATTGCACTCGACCCATAATTTGCAGAAAGATATTTATAGGTGGTTTAGCGAGAGAAACGACCATTGGTTAGTGCTTGCTTTGCCTTTGTTTATGATTATCGTAATTGTTATTTTTGGGGTGTGGCAACCCTTTCTCTGAATTGTGTGGATTTGTAGCTTTGAGCATTGATTTCTCATAACCTTACCCGTATGACTTATGTAATTTGTTGCAGCTCAATTTATTAAGCACTTTGGGAAATATGGTGAGATCACGGATTCGGTCATCATGAAGGACAGGAAAACTGGGCAACCTCGCGGATTCGGGTTTATAACGTACGCCGATCCCTCGGTGGTTGATAAAGTCATTGAGGATCCTCACGTCATCAATGGAAAACAAGTATGACTTGAATCTGATGATGTCTTGGCTAAGGATGTCATGTTACCTGTTTTTTGTTTTGATTATAGTGATTAGTGAATGGATACTTTGCTGGCTCTTATGGTTTTGGGATCATCATATATAGGTTGAGATTAAGCGGACGATACCAAGGGGAGCTGTTGGCTCTAAGGATTTTAGGACAAAGAAAATTTTTGTAGGTGGAATTCCTTCAAATGTGACTGAAGGTAGGTTACCTCTTTAGTTAGCTAAATTCTTTGCTGCTTGACTGAGGTGTCAACAAGGGGGACACATTGCAACACCTTGAGAGAGCAACCTTCGAACTGAGGACAGTATGGGCATAAAAATTTATCTAAGTTTCAGATCCTAGAATTAAATACTGTTTTTATATTTGAGAGTACTGTTTAGGATCTGCAGAGGTTTACTCTGATATTATAGACAGACAGAACTCCCTTATTGTGTTGTACCTTGTATGTTCAAGTTTTCTTCTCCTAGAAATTCTTATGAATCACTTGGCCACATGTAATTTACATCTGTCCTGATGTGAATGACGTGTTTTTATTTGTTTGACGGTGTGTAAGTAAATTGACTATTTTCATTATGATTCCCTTTTGTCCCTTTAAATCTGTGGTACAGTTTACTTTCAACAGACTGTTAGACAGTGAAACAGTTTTTGATTTTCAAAGTAACTCATTAATCATTGAATAGTTTCAGTGAACGGCAGTTCCTTTGGTTGGTAGTTTTTAATCAAAGATGCACTTGTGCAGATGAATTCAGAGACTTCTTTACTCGCTATGGTGAAGTAAAAGATCACCAAATAATGCGGGACCACTCCACCAACAGATCTCGTGGCTTTGGGTTTATCACATTTGATTCTGAAGAAGCAGTTGATGATCTTCTATCCATGGGGAACAAAATTGAATTTGCTGGAGCTCAGGTGAGGAATCTTTTACTAAAACCGAGTACATGTGTTACATTGTTTTACTCTTGACTTGTGTAACTGACATCCAGATCCAGAGGGTTGATTGTATAAAATTTTAAATCTCTTGGCTGAAAGTTTATTTTGAATGGAATTGAAAATAGTGAAATATTGGCAACTTGATTTTGTTTGCGCCATGAAATTTATATTTTAGAGTTTGCCTTTGCAAAAAATATCTTTTAAAGGTTTTAATCTTCAAGGTGGAGACTCATTATTGGCTCTGATTCTCTTGTTCAAAGAATATAACTCATGAGTAATCTGTAACTTTAACTCTTAATTTAATGAAAATAATCAAGTAGCAATGATTTCTCACCTTTTTATTAAGTTCAATGTACCAGTTGCATTGTTCTGAAATCAAATTATCGGATCCATAGTTCCATATCATCATACTTATCTGTATTTTAGTGAAAGTTATTGCTCCGAGTATCAAAGTAAATATTCTAACAAGAATCCACATTGGAAATTAATAAGGGTCAACTGGTTGGCCAAATCAGTTATTTGCTGAGACCTTGGAATACTCTAGAAAGAAAATAGTGCTTATTGAAAAGGAAAAGGAGAGGAGTGAGAGATAACCAGTTGGAAGAAAGGGCAAGGGATCTGATATTTAGGCTTGGGACTTTTCCCGTGCATTTTAATTTGTGTTCATGTAATTGTGTTCTAATTTGAACGAGGGAATATCTGTTTGTGTTGCAATTTCTACCAGTGCCTCCAGAAGTCTGAGAGGGTTTGTATTGGTTTTTTGGATAAATTTAGTTAACTTATCTTATTCTTCTTCAGGATAGGTTTACTTTGCTTTGAATAGTAAGCAAAAGCTGCAGTAGAGAGTAAAATATATGGGAATATAGTTCAAGCGTATTAATTAGAAAAATCTACTATTCTTTTGTGATTAAAATGTAGTTTTACCGATACATGATGCCATCTTTTGTGATTAAAATGTAGTTTTACAGCTATTTAATTACAGCTGTACTAACTACCTTGTCTTTTCCTTCTTTTATAAACTATACCGAACCTATCACTTGAAGTGGTGTTTCTTAGTGTGTGCATGTTTGTTTTACTACTGTATCCTACTTCCAAATACACGAAGTCATTGGCATTCAAAGTATCTGGATGGATTTGCAATTTAACAGATCAAGAACCTTATTGAAGCATTTTTTCTATTTACATTCTTTTTCATCAATAAAGTAAACTTGTCATTTTTCTTATGTAGGTGGAAATCAAGAAGGCTGAACCAAAGAAGCCAAACTCGGCACCTCCATCATCCAAGCGCTACAATGACTCAAGATCTTCATACGGTGGTGCTGGATATGGAGATGCCTATGATGGATTTGGTGGCAATTTTGGAGTTGGGGGTGGTTATAGATCAGGTGGTGCTTATGGTGGCGGTAGGGGTGGTGCTTATGGTGCCTATGGAAGTGAATTTGGTGGTTATGGAGGATATGCTGGTGCGATGGGACCGTACAGAGGAGATCCCTCCCTCGGTTATGCTGGTCGATATGGTGGAAGCTTTAGTAGAGGGTATGATCTTGGTGGGTATGGTGGACCTAGTGAGAATTATGGGGCATATGGTGGGGGTGGTGGTTCTTCTGGTGGTGCTGGTGCCGGTGCCTATCAAAGTGGCTATGATGGCAGCCTAGGAGGTGGATATGGAGGGACTAGTGGGGGTCCCTTCTATGGGAGCAGTAGAGGTGGTTATGGTGCTGGCCGATACCATCCTTATGGAAGATAAGATTGGATATCGAGCATTTGTAGTCTAGGACTAATATGTCTAGCATCAAAGCAAGTTTGTAGTCTGTGTTTGGTTCATCAGTTAGATTACATGTTTTCTTTTCAAAAGAGAATTGCCAAGTATGCTTTCATTTATCAGCACACCCATTTCTGGGAAGTCTAAACAAAATTTTCATTTGATCCCCCTTTGAAGTCTTTTTTTGTTCATGTAAGCTGCAAATTGTGCAGATGCTTGTATTCTCAATGTTATTGTTGCTTTGTACCATTTCTTACTACCATCTTTTTTTTTATGTTTTCGACTTGATTATACCATGCTGGTCTATTTTTTTATGCATGAAAATTTTGGGGAGTACATTGAGTTAGTTGATTTTATTGTTCAATATTACAAACCTTTTTGGGTTTTCATATTTTATTAAGATATAGATTTAAGTAAATGCCTTGTTTTGTTTCTTCAATTAATCGTGTATTAAAATTCATTTCATTTATTAATTTGTCAAAATGGTTTTGTTAACAAAAAGAAAACATTGGATAAAAGTACATGTTTTTTATGAGCAAATGAATGGAAGTGCATGTACTAGTCCTTGATTTGATATACGGTAATTTAAAGGGATAAAAATGTTTTTGATCATTTTGGGTTTTGTTTATTTTTCAAACTTTGATCAATTTTGTCCTCTTTTTAAAAAAACATGGATTTAGTTTTCTTTGACCAATGTTGTTAGTTTTTTTTTTCAGATGTGGTAAATGTTTTGAACATGTTTAAGACGTGTACTCACGATTGAGTTATTTGAGTTCTTTGTTCATCTTATTTGGCTAGGATGAGTCTTGTGCATAGGTTGTTTAGATTTGATTTTGCCCAAGAATGCAAAAGTTTAAGTGTGGATACATTTGATAACTTAATTTCTATATGTTAAATTATATTATTTTAATATTTTGTTTATGTAATTTAAAGAATAATTTTGTTGTAAAAATTCTAATATAATGATTATTAAAATATAAATATATTAAAGTTATAAGGATTATTTAAGTTATTAAAAAATCATAAAATATCATAAAATAAGGTTTCACTTCTGTTTTATAAGTTACGTTCTTAAAATAACATAAAAACACTGCAACCATACTGTTCGAAATCATATGATTTTGGCCCATTTTTAGATACTAAATTGTGAAATAATGGCAACCAGAAAAATTAATGGGAAGAACAAACAAAATAGTGGTTAAGAAAAATTGTTATCACTTTTAATTTAAAAGTTTTAGTAAAGTCTAACACCAACCACTAGAATCAAGATGATGATGGGGAGATGATATATGGCAATGAAGAACTTAAAATCATGTTCATCTTGATAGATAATCGGCAAAGCTTTCACAAACTAACGACAATTTATCTGCTATAATCTGATTAATTTGTTGCAATGGCATTGTCATCTTCTATAGTAATGACATCAGGAAAACCCAAAGGAAATAATATGCCAAAAAGCAAGAGTAGAGTATGAACTCGCCTAAACAAATAGATACCTTAAAGTAAGCATATGTAAACATAAAAGGTTTTAGGATGAATTATTACACTGTTAGTGTTAGAAACAAAAAGTCTGCAATTATAACACCTGATACAATCCTACACAGCTCAGGAAGAAGAACAGTGAGCTTAAATATATGCACTATTCACAAAAGGTGTGCTATATATACACTTCAATTCTGAGTTACCAATTTTCCAATTCAAGTTTTGCCTTCTGCATAACTTCCTGAGCTGCAATTTGCTTTGTCTGTCTTTCTTCACTTTGTTTCTTTGCCATTTTCGTTTGCTTCAGCGTTATGTCAGTCGCCAATATATTCCTTTCCAAATGACCAAGGCGAGTTTCAATCTTTAAGGTCTCCAACTCACAAAACTTTAATTGATTTTGTTTTGCATTGAGCATGGCCTCGAGATGAGAGACCTGTTCACATAGCAATTGTCCATGTCTTTTTGATGCTTCAAGCAAAGCTTTGGTCTTGACATGATCATCTTGGAGTTGATCTAATCTCATTTTCTCCTCCTCAAAGAATTTGTTGAGATCTTCCATAGTAAGGAAATTTTCCATGGATCTATCTATTTTTGCAATTGATGATGCAAAATTGATATAGTCCAAGACATGATCAGAAAACTTTTTGTAGTCAACCTGTAAAACATCTAATATTGCAAAAGTGGTTTCTGCTGCCTCTTTCATGGACTCATGCTCATGAGGAGCCAAGGTTTCTAGATCAGCTAGAAGTTGTTGCTGTGTGAACAAGATCACTTCTCTATGCCTTGATGCCTTTGACTTTCTTTCACCATCTGGTGATTTGCTGGGACTAACTACATGTCCAGAAGCCTCAGTATGGCAACCAGTTGAAAGTTGGGCATGTTGTTGACTAACACTTTTTATAGCAAGCTTGTTGCAAGGACCATCAGAAACATTCCTCTGTTTAGGGACAATTATTGGATTAAAGGATGGGAAAATGCCTGTAAGGATGAGACACAATCAACCACAATTCTAAATCAAAGTGCACATAAACACATAAAAAAACTGATGAAGTTATACAGCAGAAAAATGGCTTAGGCGTGGGGAGATTCAAGCTTTGAGCTGGATGGAAGAAAATAAGACGGCCAAGCCAACCCATTCGACAAGAACCTGCAATAAGATCAAATCGAGTTTTAAGACTAAATATGACTAAATCACAGGTTTTCTCTCTCAAATAGAGTTTTAAGACTAAATAAGATTAAACTGCTTTCAAACATGACACAATCCAATTTCTTAAGTTCAAACTTAAACTGATTGTAACAATAATGACCTGTGATTAAATTTGTAAAGAATCAAGTAAAAATAATTAAACTAATGTAACTTTGCTCCAAAAGTTGCAGCTGAAACATAAAGGAAAAATGAAAGAAAGAAACAGATCTCCGAGAACAAAGAAAGAAAATATTACCAAATGAAGCATTGGAGGAAATGCGCCTCTCAAACATAATTTGTCGCCAACGCATCCTTGAAGGTATTGATATTTGAGATAGTGATAGAAATGCTTCTTCCTCAACAGTATCCCACGATACCGAGTTTATAAACTCGGAATCATCACCATCAACCATGAAATCTGGAAAACCATTGCGATTCGAATCTGCTACAGTTAATACTGCACCACTATCTTCTTTGTCTGGCACAGCCAAGGGATCCTCAGAATAGACTGTAACTTTCATTCTTTCACTGAGTTTACTTCCCAGCTCATTATCAGTTTCATCATTTTGGCATTCCTCCCAAAAATCATGAAGACTCCTTTGGCTGCTTCGCTGTGTAGGAACAATGCTTTTTCCATCAAGCAGTTTAATCTCATCCTCCCAAATACGGTATCCACAAGATCCATGACCCTATATAACAATTATCAGTTTAATGATACATTTTCAAGATAACCCAAAAGGATACTTGCCATATACATCAAACAGCTTATAGGCACCAAAAATCCAATATCATCCCTCTTATGCTACAAAACATAAATCTTTCCCCAAAAACCCAATAACACACACATACACAAAAAAGAACCATAACATCAATCAGAAAATAAAGGTCATGAACCATACCTGTTTAACAGGGCAAGTAAAATAGTACTTAAAATCCCCATCTGTCTCTTTGCTTTTAACCCTTCTACAAACTCCAGCCTTACACGCACACTCAGGATACTTTATCCTTGGAGGCTGCAAATCTCTCTCAGCAACAGGTTCATCGCACCACTTAACAAAGTCTTTACATTTTACCCCCTTAAACATAACCACCAACATCATCTTTAAAATCATAATCACAAGAGAAAGATGCAAAACTGCAAGTGTTAGAAGCGTACACTTTTGATGGGGCAGGTATAGAAGTTCCTCCCACTGCGTGAGGTTTTGATTTCGCATGCGCCATGCCCACAACTGCACTGTACACCGTTGGGAGAAGGTGAGTCGCGTTTAGAATTGGGGGATTTGGAAGGACAGTACCAAGACCAATGTCCAAGTTGGTGACAATTGAAGCATTCTTCTTGCTGCATTCGTTTGACAAGATGTGGGGGGATTACAGTAGTGCTTTGAGAACTCTGAGCTTGAAATTCTGAAGGTGAATGCGAGAAATACATGGTTGTCTTGCTCTTGGTGAAACACGACCAAAGAAGAATGAAGGTTGGAACAAAGAGAGAAGAGATTCTGAACAGTGAAGATGTAATGCAGTAGTGGAGCTGGAGTGTCCGTTCAACATGCTTAAGGACAACAACGTCAACATTCCAATGATTCTCACGCATTTGAATGCTTTCAACTTCACAAATAATTTAATAATGTTACTGTGAAGAGCTTCCAAAATTGTACTATAATGTCGCCAAAAGTCACTAACGTCAATGTTTCATTCGCCGTAATCAAAGGATGAGAATAAATATGAAGCATAAATTTTGTGAGTTTTTTGAAATAATCTATTTTAAATTTTAGGTTATTTCATGTGATGATGTTTAGACTATCAACAAAAACAATTTATTAGGTGGTGAAATAAATTTTAAATTATCAGTCAGAAACAAGTTAGACTATATATCTGGAGTAACTTTACCAAACTAATATTATTATATATTTTTATCAATATATTGAAATACTTTCACAATTCTTACTTATTTACACTAAATATTTTACATAAAAAAAGCTATTAAATTCAATGTTTACAAAATAAATATAATCTTTACAAATTTTCAAACTTTTATATTTAAATTAAAATGTGTAAAAACGCAAAAATATAGAGAAAAACTATTTTAAGTGTTGTTTCATCATTGATATTAAGTGGTATGTAAAAACCAAGTCGGCTTAAGTTAAAAGCTCAATTGAGTCAACTCAGACTAGAAACTCAGTTGAGTTAGTTCAGACGGAAGGGTCAATCAAGTCGACCTAAGTTGAAAGACAAATCAATTTGGCATAAGCTGAAGTTCGAGATAAGTTAATCTGAGCTGAAGGTCAAATTAGGTCAGTTCGAACCAAAGGTCGAGTCAAGTTAGTCAGACCGTAGGTCGAGTTGAGTTGCTCGAATTAAGTATTATAGATTCAATGGATCACTGTTTTTAAATACAGTAATCTTGTTAGGTTTAGTTTTCTGTTTTTCTGTTTTTTATTCCCTTCCTTCTAGAACTCTATAAATAGAGTTTTCCCCCTCACACAAAGGTTTGTAATTTTCACACTCATTCAAATGATAACATCTGTTTTTTCTTTTCTCTAAATCAAGTTAGGAATTCTTTCACTAACCTGTTAACCTTTCCTTTCTTCTTCTTCTCTTGGTCTTCTTTCTTGTCTCCGGTGAAGGCAACTCCTTGCTCCGACGAAGGGTCTCCATGGAAGCCCTAGAACCTTCCTTTTCTTCCACTCGAAGCTTTCTGCACTTTCACCCACTAGCCATCTGATCTCGAGGCAGCTTCCAGCCTCTAACGAAAGTATTTTCGCGTTTTGGGTTTATTGGATGCGTTTTGGGTTAAAGGCCATTGGGCCTATTATTTCTGGTGTGGCCCATTCTCTTTATGGTATCAAGAGCAGAAATCATACCCACCTCACTTCCGCTGCCCAGGTTTCGTTCTTTGATGATTCTTGCTTAGTTTCTTGCATTGTTTCTTGCTTCCTTTTACCATGGATACTACAGACAAGNAGAGCAAATTGAAAAACTTCTAAAAATGATTGAGAAAGCTGATGAGCCTACACATAAGATCAATCAAATGCAGAGGAATGACAAGGAGGACAAACCAGGTATTCCTTCTTGGATTATTGATACTGGGGCCACTGATCATGTGACCCATGAGAAAGGGAATTTTGTCACCTTCTATAAGATTAAACCCATTACTGTCAAATTGCCTAATAATTCTATTATTACTGCCAAACATGCAGGAACTGTTCAATTTTCTAAAGACTTTGTTATTTTTAATGTGCTCTATATCCCTGATTTTTCTTTCAATTTAATCTCTGTTCAAAGTCTTATAAGAGACTTGAATTGTAGCCTAATTTTTTCTTCTGAGTTTTGTCAGATAAGGGAGAACTCTACATTGAAGATGATTGGGTGTGCTAACTCTTACAAGGGTCTTTACTACCTACAAACTTTTCAGAATCCTGATCAGGGCCCTGTTCCAGGATCTGTCTTTTCTTTTAAACATGTTGATGTAAATCTATGGCACTATAGACTAGGCCATCCTGGACACAAGGCTGTCAAACAGATTTGTGAACATTTTCCCTATGTCCAAATGAATACTGATACTGTTTGTGATGTTTGCCACTATGCTAAACAACATAAATTGTCTTTCCCTATAAGCAATTCCTTATCTACTGAATGTTTTGAAATGATTCACTGTGATATATGGGGTCTTTTTTCTATTCCTTCTGTTCATGGGCATAAATATTTTCTTACTATTGTTGATGATTATAGCCGACATACATGGATATTTTTGATGAACAACAAGGGTCAAACTAGAGACTTATTACAAAATTTTATTATTAAAATTCAAAATCAGTTTGGTAAAATAATTAAGACTGTTAGAACTGATAATGGCCCCGAGTTCAACTGTGTCAACTTATATGACTTGCATGGTATTAGCCATCAAACTAGTTGTGTGGAGACCCCTGAGCAGAACTCTGTTGTTGAACGTAAGCACCAACACATTCTAAATGTCACCCGTAGTCTTATGTTTCAGTCAAATATACCTAATACCTATTGGTCCTATGCTGTGAGCCATGCTGTCTATCTCATAAACAGATTGCCTACTCCCATTCTTAACAATAAAACCCCTTATGATCGTATCTATAATGTTCCCCCCACTTATTTAGACTTAAATACTTTTGGATGTCTCTGTTTTGCTTCCACCCTTGAAGCTGGCAGGAGCAAACTTGACCCCAGAGCAAGGAAAGGGATTTTCCTTGGATACAAAAGTGGAGTCAAGGGTTATATTGTCCTTGACATCAACACTAGAGAACTTTTTATAAGCAGGAATGTTGTTTTCTATGAAGACATTTTTCCTTGGAAGCATCAGCAGAACAACCCAGGAGTGAATGATGAAGAAGCTGACAAAATCACTTTTTTTAATGATTCCCTAGGCAGTTCTGCCTCCAATAGTGATGAAAGGTGTGCAGAAGAGGAGATCCAACATGACATTGTTGAAGAGAATAACATTGATAATGAAGTCAATAACAATGAAGGGGATCATGGATACAAGAGATCTGATAGGATCAGAAAGCCTCCAGGATATCTATATGACTACATCCACCAGGTTAATCAATCCTTGTCTGTGAGAAATAAGTTCAAAACCCCTTACCCCATTTCTGATCTATTATGTTGTGATTCTTTGACAGAAAAACATTCAAGATATACCATGGCTATCACTGCTAACAGTGAGCCCCACTCTTATAATGAGGCCAAAGGGGTGAGTGAATGGGCAGAGGCAATGCACAAGGAAATTAAAGCCTTGCAGGACAACAACACGTGGTTTCTATCACAGCTTCCTCAAGGGAAGACTGCAATTGGATGCAGATGGGTATACAAGATTAAATATAGGGCTGATGGCACCATAGAAAGATACAAGGCCCGCCTAGTAGCTAAGGGTTACACCCAGCAAGAAGGGATAGATTATTTGGACACATTCTCTCCTGTTGCCAAGCTAACTACCGTTAGATTACTCATTGCGTTGGCAGCCTCTAAAAACTGGTTTTTACATCAACTATATGTGAATAATGCTTTCCTTCATGGAGACCTAAATGAGGAAGTCTACTTGGAGCCACCTCCTGGTCTTAATGTTCATAAAGAAGGCCAAGTCTGCAGACTAACTAAGTCATTATATGGCCTAAAACAAGCTAGTAGGCAGTGGTTTGAAAAATTGTCCACTTTCCTCACCTCTGTTAGCTATATACAGTCAAAAAGTGATCACTCTCTCTTTATCAAAGGGACACCTACTGGTTTCACAGCCTTACTTGTTTATGTTGATGATATCATATTAGCAGGGAATTCCATGACAGAAATCAGTCACATAAAGAGTCTTTTGCATAACAGATTTCAAGTAAAGGATCTAGGAGAACTTAAATATTTCCTAGGGCTGGAGGTGGCAAGGTCCAAGAAAGGAATTCATTTGTCTCAAAGAAAATATGCCTTAGACATACTTGAGGAGACGGGAATGCTGAGTTGCAAGCCTTGTTCAACCCCTTTTTTGAGTGACACGAGTACTCTGTACAGAACCGACAGCTATTTGAAAGATCCAACCTCTTACCGAAGATTGATAGGGAAGTTGCTTTATCTCACTAACACTATACCTGATTTGTGTTTCTCTATTAATTTGCTAAGTCAATTTATACAATCTCCTACTGACTACCATTATCGGGCTATTCAACATGTCCTTAGGTACATAAAGTCTAAACCCTCAGAAGGACTATTCTTTCCAGTTGACTCTCCCATACAGCTAAAGGCCTTCAGTGATTCAGATTGGGCAACTTGTCCAAATACTAGGAGGTCCACTACAGGTTTTTGCGTCTTCCTTGGATCATCACTCATCTCTTGGAAATCAAAGAAACAGAGCACTGTCTCCAGGTCCTCCACTGAGGCTGAATATCGTGCTCTGGGAGCCACTACTTGCGAGCTACAATGGATTCACTATCTATTAGAGGACTTACAGATTAAGGAAGCTGGAATTCCAGCTCTATACTGTGACAACAAATCTGCCAGACATATAGCTCATAATCAGAGCTTTCACGAAAGAACCAAGCATATAGAGCTTGATTGCCATGTTGTTCGTGAAAAGGTGCAAGCTAATCTTCTACATCTTCTCCCCATTCGCTCAGATGAACAACTTGCAGACATTTTTACCAATTTTCCTCACCGAGTTCGGTTCGGATCTATCGTTCCCAAGCTTGGACTGGCAACTATACACCATCCAGCTTGAGGGGAGGCTATTAAGTATTATAGATTCAATGGATCACTGTTTTTAAATACAGTAATCTTGTTAGGTTTAGTTTTCTGTTTTTCTGTTTTTTATTCCCTTCCTTCTAGAACTCTATAAATAGAGTTTTCCCCCTCACACAAAGGTTTGTAATTTTCACACTCATTCAAATGATAACATCTGTTTTTTCTTTTCTCTAAATCAAGTTAGGAATTCTTTCACTAACCTGTTAACCGTGCCTTTCTTCTTCTTCTCTTGGTCTTCTTTCTTGTCTCCGGTGAAGGCAACTCCTTGCTCCGACGAAGGGTCTCCATGGAAGCCCTAGAACCTTCCTTTTCTTCCACTTGAAGCTTTCTGCACTTTCACCCACTTGCCATCTGATCTCGAGGCAGCTTCCAGCCTCTAACGAAAGTATTTTCGCGTTTTGGGTTTATTGGATGCGTTTTGGGTTAAAGGCCATTGGGCCTATTATTTCTGGTGTGGCCCATTCTCTTTAGCTCGGACCATAGGTCGAGCTAAGTTGGTACAGACTAAACATGCAACCATTTTGGCACAAGGGGAAGGTCAAGTCGATGTGACACAAAACGAAGGTCAAGCCGATTTGACATAAATCGAAGGTCGAGTTTAGTTAGTCATTATTGAGATGAGTCAGTCTAGCTGAAGGTCAACACGAGTCAGCCAAGATCAAAGGTTGAGCTAAGGCGGCACAAGCCGAAGGTCGAACTGATTCGACTTAGACTGAAGGTCGAGTCGAATCAGCTCGAGTAGAAGGTCGAGCCAAGTTATTATGGATCGAAGGTCAAGTCCGAGTCGACTCGAACCGAAGGTTAAACTAAGATGTCTTGGAGAGCTGAGTCGTGTCGTGTAGATGGTCGAGCTGAGTTTTCCGTGTCGAAGTACGAGCCGTTAAAGTGCGAGTCGAGTAAGCTGTGTAAAATCCAAAATAAATACAATAAATTGTTTCCTTCATTTTTAAGTGATGTAAAATTCAATTAGTAATAATTTCTTGTGATATAATAGTATTTGTGTACTTGTGTTTTTATGATGTGATTATATTATTTTACTCATTCTTATAAATTACAAATGGAATGTAGGTATTTTTGTTTAGACTCTACAATACACCTCCAATATATTCTAGGATTTCTTTTAATGTGCAAATAATCCATTTTTGACTAATGTACACGTTGGTTTCTCCTTCTCATCTCCATGACGTAAAGTCTTTCCTTTTCCCCACATATATAGTTGTTTTTCTTCTTTCCACCATAGCACCTGACCTTCTTCGCTTCATATACCAAAAGAGACAAAACATAAGCTAGACATTGAAATGAAGCTAGGGGAGACTTTGAGGAACATAGGTTCCTCCCTTTTTGAGAACATCCGACACTTAGGCTCTGGAATTACAAGGATAAAAGCCTTGGATTCTTCCTTAACGAAAAACTTAAGCAAACATTAACGAAACAATGAGAAAAATAAGGAGAGAACGTGAGGTGATCTGAAATTCATGGTTGAACATACAAGGGGAGTAGTTTTGAACCATTTGATATTCTTTATTCCTAATCCTGTTAAACTAACTGGCAGGAGTGTACTAGAGATGCAGAATTCCATCTTTCTCTTGAACCATGTCACAGAAACTTTACTGAAGTTACTGAATTGGCCTAAAAGTTGTACCTGGTTTAAAATAAGTTAGTATCTTATTCATTTTGTACGACATGGTACAAGTCTGACCCATAATTCTTAACATATGACAACCTTTTTTTGTTGGGAAAAGCCATATTGTGTGCCCATGCTAGGAGCTGCAGAGGTTTTTATTTTTTTTTATTTTCTTTCTTGGACTTTGAGTGCAGAACCATATTTCACGTGTATCTTTAGTCACCATATTAAAAACTACAGATTTTTTCCTTTAAGAGTTCTTTAGTTTTTAATTGGAATCAACATCAGTTTTTAATTGAAACTTGAGAAAGACTTAACCTACTACTGATCGTAATTAGCATGGTAAATCAGAATAAGTTCATACAAGTGGTTCATGCATGGTATGGTATGCGTGATTAAGGTGGTTAACCGTGAGCTTAGCTGCAGACTTGGTATGCAATTCATAGTGTATCTCTTTAGTGATCTTATGCTAGGCTTTTCAGACCCAAATTTTGATATCTTAAAGTAAAACATTCCAGTATAGCTTGATCTGGACCGTGGGAAAATCCAAACTGCAGATTTAGTTTTCAAGTTTTGGTGCATTTTTTAGTTCTTATATCAAGCTTGACATTCCAGTAGCTTTAGTTCTTGCTGTTGTTTTTGCACACCTCTTAAGTTTAAATATAAATGTGTGAACCATCTCATGGTAAGACCTTGTCCTTTTGTTTTATGAGAAATGACGTGGCATCCTTTGTACCGAGAGTAGGCCAATTTTAAAGTCATTTTGTTGGTGGTTTCGGACTTGAAAAAGTAGTCTTTTTAATTTGGACAGTAGGTAAGGATTTAATTAGATAGTCGTGTGAAGGATTAAGTTTAATGGTTCATCATGATAGTTGGTTAATAAGGACATTATTTTCTAGACTTTTAGTGTATAACCAGGTTTATACTTTATCTCGGTAAATTGATATAAATTATGGTTCTTTTGCCTGCGTAAGGCGATGAAGATTCAAGTGTTGCTCATTTCTTTAGGGATGAAAAGGAAAATATGTCTTGTTCGTAGATTTTTAACTCGTGTTGATTATAGTTCTTGGTGAGTGGATGTACTCCACCAATATTTTTACTCGTAAGTCCTTGTTGAGTAGAAGAGATAGGTCTGAAGGTGTGTGTGAAGGACGATTCGAATCCAGGGTCTAATAGTTGCATATGAATGACTAGTGATGTGATGTGTCCATTAACTGGGTGTGAAGGATAGAAACCGATAAGTCCGATAGCTACGTGTGAGGAACGGGAACTGAGTCCTATCCGAAGCTGCGTGTAGATGATGACTCGTGTCTCCTTAATTTGGTAGTCATGGTTTACATGATAGGATACGAGAGAACAACACATGATTAAATTCACTTGGGATTTGAGTGATTTACAGAATAGACTAACTAGTGTAGTTATAATCTCATGTTGGTTACAATAGAGGTAGTATGACCTCGATGATACCCTAATGAAATTCTTGATGTGTTGATGTGAATATTTAAGATGTGTGAGTGAGTATATTTATAACTTATGACTTGTTTGTATTTGATTAGTTCACTCCACTTGTTGTATTCATGCGATGATTGTATAACTCGTATTGTTATACGAAAGTAGATAAAGTTTTAGGTGAAGATGAAGCGGTTTAGTGCTAGGAATGCCTTGAAGGGAAAAACTCATTTGAGACTTTTTAATTTGTATTTTTAATTATGTTATATTGTGGTTTGAAATCTTAAGACAACTTCGAGTTTTAATTTTGTATTACAATATAAGTTCTTTCAACTTTGAAGTTACTATTTTATAATGTTATTAGATGTTGTATCTTTAATAGTAAATGAATACTTTGAAAATTTTTCCTGTGACACTTCAAGAAGGGGTGTTACAGGCCCATACTAAAGGTCGAATCGAGTGGGTTCAAATTAAAGATCGAATTTAGTTAGACTGAGTCAGTAGTCGAGTCAAGTTACCTTATGTTGAAATTTCAAGTTGAATAAGCTCAAGTTAAAAATTGAACGGAAGTATTAAAAATTGAAATCAATGCTTCTTAATTAAAAGTTGAAACGAATCCATTTAAATTTAAAATCCATCCTTGTTAGTATAAGTGGAATCTGTTAGAGTATATAAGGATTAAAAATCGATACAAATCATCTATAATTAAAAGTTCAACTAATTCAACAATTGAATTTGCCTTAAAATAAAAATAAATGACTTTATCTAAATAAGAAAATTAAAATATAAAATATTTCAATTAAAATAAATTATTTAAAAATAAAAATAATGAAATATTTAATTAGGAAATAAATATATTTCAATTATAAATAATTCAAATTTATATATTTTAAAATTTTAAAATTGTTGAAATGAAAATCTCTGTCAAAAAAGGTAGAGAGATTTCTTTTCCTTTACCGTGATCCAAGTTTAATATAGTTCAGACATGAGATATGCAGATGATCTTAAAAAGATCTCGCTTTTTTGATGAGATAATAATGGTACGAGAATTGTCTCTTTCTGATTCATCGCAAGAACGGCTCTGATAGCGCTTTGGTGCAGCGAGCAGCGTGGGAATATCACAGACAACCCACTCGTGCCTCTACCTCATCACACCGTTGATCACCATCACAAACACAACAACATACGTACCATACCAGGTGAAGTTGAGGTTGTTCTTCTTCTACCTTCTTCTCCCCACTTACCATTTCCTCTTTCCTCTAAACCCCATTTCTCTCTCTCACTAGATCCAACCGCAAGCACAGCACCGCACCGAACCCACGACAACACAATGATCCAACCCTAATTTCACCGTCTCTTACCTCCAAGGTCTTCTATCTTCTTCTCCCTTCTTCCATTTTCCCTCTCTTGTTCCTTCAATCTGTTTTATTTCTTCTTTTGATTACAGATATAAAAAAAATTATCCGTCTCTTTTTCGTAAGCTTGTACTTGCGTAATGGGCAACTCTTAAACGCAGCTTCCCTTCATTTCGTGTTTAATTCGAGTAGTTCACCATGGATTCTCCTTACAATTGTGGCCAACCCTCTATTGGATCTGGGATCCTTCGTGTTTGCGAGGAAGCTAGGGTTTGCGCCCAGTTTCGCCTCAAGATTGGGGGATTTTCTCCTCTGATTGTTAATTTCTACACCCGACTTCCCCTCTTACCTGGCTTTCTTGGATTTGTGTTGGACTCGAGGTTTTCGGTGGAAAAGTTTTCGCTTGCCCTTTCCTTTGTTGTTTCCCTTTCCCTGCAATTGACATTTGCAATAAAGGAAGAGTCTTTCCAGTTTGGTGAATGAAGCTGCGATGGAGGAAGTGACCTCCGATGCAATGAACCTTGATTTGAATCTGGGTCCAGGCCCCGAGCCTGAAACTGGGCCCATAAGCAATGACTTGTTGTGGCAATTTGTTTTGTTGGCCTTGCCTGAGTAGGTGGTTGCATCTGCATTCAGATGTAAAAGAGTGTGTCCGGTTTGTGAGGTACGGTTTGCAGAATTTAGGGCCACTCCCAGAGGATGTGATGGCTTTTGCTCAGAATAATGCTAATACTGCTGAAGCAGGGGATACCGAAGTAGGGTGCAATCCCATTTGCTTCGAAGGAGTGAAGGAAGTATTCTTATGGAGTTTTTACAGTATGAATTGAATATTATAATCATATAATAAAAATATTTTCATCGTTTCAAGAGTGTAGTATAACAATTAGAAACTCGTTGACAAATATACAGTGTAAAAGAAATGTAAAAGACAAAAGAATACATACATAACAAACAATTATTAAAGCTATTTTCTTTATTAATGATTATAAATTATAGATTATAGATTACAAATTACATTTGCAACGGCGTCGATTATTAAAGCCCGTGATTGTGAGTGGTCTTTTCCCGAACCCAGAAACCCTTCCTTTTTCTGCTTTTCACTGTTGAAGTGACGTTGTTGGTTCTGCTCAGCCATTCTCTCAGTCGTTCAATTATTGCAAGGTTCAAATTGTACTGATTATTGTTTCATTCACCAAACACGACAAATTTTTTTTAAGCAATGAGAACTGTTTTTAGTTGAAACCTGAAATTGAAGATTTAAGATTTTGTATCTATGAATTTGTAGGGAAGAATACTTTTTTTATCTCTAATATTTTTTGAAATTTTGTGTTTGTATGTCCATCTGGTTAGATCAGTGGTTCACTGAGAAATTGGTTGTTGCAGGTGAAGGTTCCCTTGGAATCCATGGCTGTTTCGTATGTTCACATGGTTCAACCTGGCAGGGGTTTCCACAAGGGTAACCTTTCATATGCCAATTTCAGTTACAAGGGGAGGAGGACCAACTGTTTAGTTTTTGCTTCTGTGCACACGTCAGACCCTAAGGTACTTCAGTGTCACCTGACTAACTAGTATGGTTTCAAGGATTTCGTTGCTTGAGGAAATGGTTACTTGTGAAAAGAAGGAAACTAGTTTGTGTTTTTTGCCAAGTTTTAAGTTGACTGTTTTTCAAGACCTGGTTTGCCAAGTTGATTGCATTGCACATTCTCCTTATATGGTTTTATCGGTGAAAACAGTGAAGTTCTGTACGTGGACTTACACCCACATGGAGATGTCTGTTATTGAGAGATTATTGTCATTGTATAATCAAGGCCCAAAGCATACTAATGAAAAGAAATTTCTGTGTTGTTGACTGTCTATTGCGGATGTTTGTTGTCTGGAATTTCCTATAATTCGTCATCTAATTCTAGTTTGGATAATCTCCTTTATAAAATACTTGTAAGAGAAGAAAATAAGGAGAAACGAACTAGCTTTCTCCCATATACTAAATTTCGCTATTGCACAAGTTAAAGCAGATTTTTGAGAAGATAAGGTGATAGAACTAATACAAATTAGTTCACATGCATAAGTTAACTTTAGCTTATCAGAGAAACATGTTTGTTTACATAGAGCCCAAGTAGTCAGTGGTGTAGCCAGGACCCGGAGTCTATGGAGACAAAATATAGAAACTGAAATCACTGGGTTTAAATATATAGGAATAGAGGAGATGCAATACAAAATTATAAAGTTTTACTTGTAGTTTTTCGTGTAAAAGAAATTACCCATGACGTTTTTTAAATTGAGGGGATGCAGTTCATTTTCGATATAATGTTGCAGTTCTCATTAAATTGTGGATGTAACTTTAGATTTAGATATCTGGGTTTAAATTGAGTGACAATATTGTTCCGTGCGATCAAGTCCCCTAATTATGGTGATTGTATTGCTAATATGTTGTTCTAACAAGGACATTCATCCTTTGTATTCTTTGTGGATTTTCTTAGCATTTCGTGTTTTCAATTTTTGTTCTTATTGTATTTTTCTTTTGATAGTATAATTTCATGTTTTTACATTGAAGCGCTAAACTTTTCAGGTTGATTCGTTACTGGACAGTGTAAAATGGGATGACAAAGGCTTAGCTGTGGCAATAGCTCAGAATGTTGACACAGGGGCCATATTAATGCAAGGTTTTGCAAACAGAGAAGCTGTTGCCACAACCCTATCTTCTCGAAGGGCCACTTTCTATAGCCGATCAAGATCGACATTGTGGACCAAAGGAGAGACCTCTAATAATTTTATCAATGTTCATGATGTATTTCTTGATTGTGATCGTGATTCTGTAAGCACTTCCCTTTTTCTCATTGAATTGTTTAGTTTTTCCTTTTTGATTTTAGTTTCATACTGTATGTTGTTTACTTTTCTCCCTGGTAATTACTTCTCAGATAATATACCTGGGGAAACCTGATGGGCCTACCTGTCACACAGGGGCAGAAACATGTTATTATACATCAGTCTTTGACTTGTTAAAACAGAAAGAGGTAACAAAAAGCAAATAAAAAGTATATGTAATTGCCATTTTTTGTTGGAGAGGAAGTGCAGCAACATTCAAATTGTTTTGGGTTATCTGTTACAGGATGAAGGAGATAATTTGGCATTAACCTCATTGTATGCATTAGAGTCAACAATCTCACAACGGAAAACAGAGTTAACTGGAGAAAATGAGAAGCCTTCATGGACAAAGCGACTATTGCTTAACGATAAGTTGCTGTGCTCTAAAATAAGGTTGGTATAACTTGGCATGTTATTATGTTGAGTTGGAATATAAAAGAGGAAAAATATATCCCTTTTGACGTTTTTGTCCCAAAAATATCACATTCTAAATGCTTTCCAGTCGTTAAGAAGCCTTGTAGCCGATCCATTGCTTTTGCATAAGATGTCTTTTACCTACAACACCACTTTGATTATATATAATTCACTTTTCTTGAAGGTACAGTATGGATTAAACGATTATCTTTTCATGATCTCTGATTGTAACTCTATCTTTCTACTCGCAGGGAAGAGGCAAATGAGTTGTGTCAAACACTAGAGAATAATGAGGACAAGTCACGTACTGCTTCAGAGATGGCTGATGTACTATATCATTCCATGGTTTTGCTGGCAAAGAAAGATGTCAAAATAGAAGATGTTTTGCAGGTTCTTCGGCTGAGATTTTCCCAATCTGGTATTGAAGAGAAGAGAGGCCGTTTATCCCAGAAACCATTGGATCATTAAATTTTCTGTCAAGTCTATATCTCAAACAATATATTTAGCTTTTGTTGACATACCTGGATTAACTGTATGTGTTATTATCCGTGTGACTATACTGAATTGAGGTAACTTATTTAAATAGCGTAGAGAATGTCAAGAACACTATGTAACTGCTATCCACCCATTTTTGCAGATATCAGTTTACACTGTTTTTGAGGTATAGATAATTATATTGCTTGGATGCTTATTTCTACCAAACTGCAAGTCTGTAATGCATTATCTTAAGTTAATTAGAATTGATTTTGAGCTGTTAAATGTAGTTGAGATATGTGGTTACTTTCAACCATAGCTATAATAAAATGTGTATATGGTGAGAGGATTTCATTTTAAAGATGAAAAGAAAAATTCCAAGTTGAATTGTTGAGCATTACAATAATTTGGAGCCACTCCTAGTGATATCAGCTCAAGCATAACAAGAACCATTCCTAACTATAGTGGCAAAAGCACAACAATTTAGAGGCTTTTGCTTTTTGTTCCTTCATGCTTTATCGATTATATACAATGTTGAGAATACCTCTTTGTGTCGGTAAAAGATAACCTATTTTGACTCCCTCTCACACCTTTGTACTAATCATGTTTTTGTCACCTTCAACCATTGAGAGCATTGTATCATCCTTGCAAGTTATTATCTTTCTCCAGTTGTGTTGATATCATTATGCCATTGTATTATTTTGTGGTTTTCTCGTGGAGACTTCAAACTGAGTGGGTTTTTAAGTTTCTAAATTGTGTTAATATGAAAATCTTATGTGAATAAATGATTTTGGAAGTAGAAAAATGGATTTGATGTTCTAAATTGAACGATCCAGAAAGCTTTTACCTATTACTTGATTCAAAAAGGTTCTTGGAATGAGCTATCCAGAAGTACATGTGATGGTTACGTATAACAATCTAGAATGTCTCCCAAATCGAACAATCTAGATAGTTTTCCAAATGGTTCTTTATACCAATCTAGAATGTCTCCCAAATTGAACAATCCAAATAGTCTTACAAAATTAGAAATTCAAAATGTATTTTTGGATTAAGCACTATATAATGCACTCTCATATTGATTAATTCAAAATTTATTGTTAATTCGAAATCCATTTAAAATTTTGAAGTTTAAAATGGATTTGTATTTTCTAATTTTTTTATTTATTTGTGACACGAGGATAATGGGTGGTGTTTCTCAATCCAATGTGAGAAAAACCTACTCCTTTAGTACAAGATGTTTCTTCGTGCACTTCAAACCTTCTTTTGCACCTCTAAGTTGAAAATTTTGTCCTTAGATAAAAATATTATAAAAAATTAGGTAAGTAGTAATTATTGGCTACCAAATTGCATTTACTTCGACCTCTGTATTTACTTAAGTTTATTGTTTCATCATTCTTCTTCTCTCACTCTCGTGGTGGTAGTTTTTGTTACCACAATTTTAAATCTTTTTTATTTGTTAAAAAACATGTTTCTCTATCTATTGAGCTAATCCTTACGATTTTTATATCACACCTTTTATTGTAAAATCCTTAGTCAGAAATGTCTGCATTCCAAAAACCACTAAGTATTAGCTATAAATAACTGTTTCTAAATAATATTTAGGTTCATAAATAATAGAATATTTGTATTCCAAATAATACTTGGATTTTAAGAATTTCGAGTAGTCATAAAAGTGTATCTAAAAAGTGTTGAAGAGAAAACACTGATAGCATAGCATTCTGCATCTGATCATGTAATGCAGAATCAAAGTGATATGCCATGAATGAATAGTGAGTTTTCTTGTGTGGATGAATCAAAGTGATTGATAAAGAATATGATTGCTTACACTGTTATCTGAAAATGATTGTTCCAAACATGTTTGCCTCCTGGCCCCACAAGTTCCACACTGTCCATTCCATAATGTCGGCCCCACATGAATTATTACACGTGTCAATCTTCTATTGGTCACTACTTCATTCAAATTACATACAAAATTTTAATAATATCACTATTTAACAATTCAATTTAGCTTTACTTAAATTTAAAACAGATCAATTATTATAATATGGTTTTTTTTACTATAGTTTATTTTTCTCCTTTCATGATAATTAGTTTAAGAGTATAATTAAAAAAAATATCATTTTTAAATTAAAAATAAATGATAGATAAAAGAATTGAAGAAGTAGTTGATAGTAATAAATAAATTGAATACAAAAGATAGTATCTCTTAATTAGGGTTTGATTTGCACACATTTCATAAATGAGTTTTGAAAGATATTTTATAGAGGTTAAAGGTAAGTGAGGGTCATCATATGAGAAAACCATGAAAGTGACCATAATCATTACTTAGAAACTAGCCAACTATTGTGTGCCACCCACATGTTCTCAATCTTTTCTTCTTCTTCTATAAACCAATTTTAATTATTAAATAGATTTTTGAAAATTATTAGAATCAAATAATTGATATTCATAATATAAAAGACTAATAATTTTATTTCCATGATTGACATTAAAATCTAGTCTAATAGATAATGTTAACCACAAAAAATCAAACACTTGATTCCAAAGGAAATGAAACTCGTGTACTTAGATATTTTAATGCTCATTTCCATATTGAATAATTAATATAAGTATCTTTAACCTTTGTCCATTAAAAAAAGCTAAAGTGGTCACCTTTGATTAATAGTATATACCATGCATATCCAATTTAAAGAATATTTTCACTATTGAATTTATTCAACCATACTTTTATTTTGAAGTTACTTTTGTTATCTTAACAAGTTTTTTTTAAGTAAAAAAACAAAAAAATTCTTACTCTCATAATCAAAATTCATGAAATCTTAGACCTATCAGCTAAATTTATTTCTTAAAAAATTAATCCAACAATTCATAAAAGCCAAATGATTTTAAAATGGCTATAAAGTTGTCAACTGTGTTTATTTAATAATGGCGTCCAAATCTAATTTTTCTTTCAAAATTAATAAGAATAATAAAAAAGGTTCTAAAAATTGGGTTTAATGAGTATTTTAAAAATATGTATTTAATTTAGATTATAAATAAGTATAAATTATTCGTAATAAATGTATAAACTAGTCATTTATATTAATACTATATATATATATATATATATATATATATTAATTTTTATAACTTTATACTATATATTAATATATTATTTTGGTTTAAACACTGTTTTTTCTTTATATTTGTTTGAAAATTTCAATTCAATCATTAGATTTTGAGTCGTTTCAATTGAATATTTTTTAAAATGTGTAACAAATAGATCCAAATTGTTAATTTTGTCTAAATAGTTAACAAAGGTGTATAATAGACATGGTGATGTAAATTTTTTTTATCATGTGAAATTTAATTTTGGTTATTGGAAGAGATCTTGGTAGAAGAAGCCATGAATAGGAAGAAGACAAAGAGCAGTTTGATCTGCAAAATTAGCATGGTTAAGGACAAGGAAAAGGTTGAGGAGGTCAACAAGTTTGCAGTATAAAAAAAAGAACTTGACAAGTTTGTTGAATAGCAAGAACTTGGCAAGATTGCCAAATAGCAAGAACTCGACAAGATTGTCAAGTAGCAAAAAGAACTCAACAGGATTATGGAGTAGCAAAGAGAACTTAGAAAGTTTGTCAATTAATAAGGAAAGATCTGCTAGACATATGAACCAGTTGGTGAGGTTGGTAAGATATGTAGACAGACCAGACGACAAGGTGGAGGATATGAAGAACTTAGCAAGAGATCTAAGTAGTACGATGAACTCGGTAGAACAATTAAGCAATATGGATAAGCCGACCAGACAATTGGATATCCTAGAGAGGTTCTTGGACAACTCGTATAGCTTAAAGGAGCATGTAGAGAGCTTAGAGGAGAATGTAGAGAGCTCAGTGGAGCCTAAGGTAAGCTTGTTAAGCAACAAATTTGGAAATGGTGTGACAAATATGCTCGAGTTATGGATTGGAAGATGAAGGTCAAGGAGGAATTGAGCGAGTAAACGAACAACTCAAATAGCTCAATAAAGCATGTAAAGAGCTCGATAAAGTATGTTGATAGCTTGGTACGAAGCCCGAGTAGCTGGATGGATAGTCCAAATAGTATGGATAGCCTTGATAGCTTGGTAGAGTGAGTGAACAACTCAAAAGGAGCTTAGCATGTTGGTGTGAAGTGGTTGTGGTCTGTTATTTCAAAAGGAGAACAATATATTTGTAAGTACCCAACTACAAGAAGCTCAGAAATCAAAATTAGAAGCTAAAAAACCAAAAGCATTAGCAAATTCATTTTGATGTAATCATTAAGTCCATTTGCTGGAGTTCCCTTTTTTTTGGTATACAATGCAATTTGAATTGGTGGACTAATATGGATTGTTTGTGGATCTATAACAATTTCTTTTTACCTTTAATGGATTATAAACAATGTTTTAACAAGTAATGAAATTATCGCAATAATTCAAAAACATTACATTAACAACTTCAACTTTTTACAACACATCATGGAGTTTTCAATAAAATTGATATTACAATTATATTAATTACATATACAACAAACATTATCCCTGTTAGCACCTTCAACCATTTTTTCAACATAAAACATATTTATCTAAAATCGACATTTTCATTGTTTCACCATCCATTTTTTTCATCTTCACCATAGTTTCATCCCTTTCTTTATTCTTAAGACTTTCTTCAATTCCTTGTTTACTACACCATTGGAAATAATTGCAACCAACTAATTCTCCACACTCACTTTGTTCAACAAAACAATAACATTTATGGTTTTTAATAACAAAGGAAAAATAGTCAGTTTTGCCTTCATGGATCTTATCTTGAACTTAGGATAACCTCATAATTATTTTCCCTAATTCTTTGGGGTTTTAGTAGTTCTCAAGATTGCATCGTCACCATAGTAGTAAATGAGTTTTGCACCCAACCTTCTCGCCCTACCACCACGAAAAGACATGCTACCATTTTACATCTCTCAACCATTACATGTGCCAGACGAACAAGAATAAGAGTGAGACATACCTCAGTTGAATAATCGATATCAGAGAAGACAACCTCTTCTTTCAAAGCCTGCACCTTTAAATGTTAGAGTAAAGAAAACAATTTTTTAAAAGAGGATATTAAACATGTAGCTACATTGAATTATGAAATCAAATGACACATAATCCATTCAATATTACAACTCATCAAGTATTTATGACGTTTTAGTAAAGTTAACAAAATGACCTATTTATTACACATTTG